TCTCCAAAATGTTAAACTATTCAAAGCGGTATTAACGTCGAAACCGTTCTCCAAAATGTTAAACTATTCAGACAAAGTTTCCCGCTGTTTGCGAAGGAATTGTTGGCTATGATGTACTGATTCATGATCAGTGCATCATAGCCAACAATTCCTTATACAAAGTTCAAAAACTTGGGTGCAATCAGAACTGATTGCACCCAAGTTTTTGAACTTTCTCGAGGGAATGAAAGGGTAAGAGGTATACATTATGAATATATACCTCTTACCCTTCCATTCCCTCTCTGACAGCGGGAAACTTTGTCTGAATGTTAAACTATTCAGACAAAGTTTCCCGCTGTTTGCGAAGGAATTGTTGGCTATGATGTACTGATTCATGATCAGTGCATCATAGCCAACAATTCCTTATACAAAGTTCAAAAACTTGGGTGCAATCAGAACTGATTGCACCCAAGTTTTTGAACTTTCTCGAGGGAATGAAAGGTAAGAGATATCCATTTCCTTTCACCTTCGTTCTCAATAATTAACTTATAAATTTTTTAAAGCAAAAAAAGTCTGATTTTTTTTGACAAGTAAATATATAGGGAATTTATCCGACCAAATAAGTGTCACTTTTTCGGTTCACCTCACTTTCCGTAACTCGTCTTACAACACTTCTTTAGTATCGAATACTAATAATTTCATTAGATTATAAAATTCTTCAAAATTGTCTCGTGATTTAAACTTATCCGCTTTTCTTAATATGGCGCGAAGGACATGCACGCCACACCAAAGAATATGACAGTTTGGAATACCTCGCTCAATTGCCTCGGCTATTTGTGGGGCGCAGTCCATACTTATCATCTCGGGTTCTCTATTAATATATTGAAAATAACGACAAACACAATATTGAATATTTTCGCTTGTGTCAGGAGAAATAAAGAAATACAAAAAAGGAAAAACAATAGTATGTTCTGTTTTTCCTGTGAGTGCATATAATGGAATGTTAGCCCTTAGAAGTTTATACGTTGAATCGATGTGAAACGTAGAAATTTGGTGACCAAGGGCCTTCGCTTCGAAAGGTGCATATAAAAAAACTAGTTTTCCCGGCTCAGAGATAAATTCAATTAAATCTTCTGGACAACTTCCTTGAACAGATTCGACAAAGATAGCTAAAGAAACTTTTTCATCCGAACTAAAGCGTTTGGAAACAATTTCAGCTCTTTGAGCAAATTTACGTAATGCATCTGGACCTTGTGCAAATATTGAAAGTAACTCTTCGTCTGTATATGAAATATTTAAGTCTTGGAAACACTTAAGTTGAGCTGTAGCATGATTCATATTGTTTTCAAAGTAATGTTTAAGATAATTTCTGACAAATAATGAGGATATTGTTTTTGTTGATTTCGGAGGTGCAGAATGATCATGAGAGTCAGCGTGGATTAGTAGTTCATATTTATCTTGATCTATTATCCGGACTTTGAATTTAGCTTGACATTGTGGATACTTACATTTGTATTCGATCGTGGAGTATTCTTTCCTGCATTTTTGAGAGTAGCCCATGCTAGCTTTTATCTCTTCTTGGATACCAAACTGGAGGAGCTCCATAGTGTTGAATATCACGGGCTCCATACAACAAATTGAATAAGGTATTTCAAAATTTGAAGGAAATGGTCCATCATTGAATGTAGTGGCCGGGAATTGAATGACATACAGATAGTTTGAGGAAATTTGTTATAAATTATAATATAATTGAAGAATTAATTATCAAAACAAGTCTAAGAGCCATTTGTCAGATTTTCCCGAAATGCAAGGTTAAGATTTTAGCAGCGACTAACTTTGAGTGTACATATATAATTGTTATACTGAGTACTTTCTATCTGTGTTACTTATTTGAGTCTAAGAGTCATTTGTCAGATTTTCCCGAAATGCAAGGTTAAGATTTTAGCAGCGACTAACTTTGAGTGTACATATATAATTGTTATACTGAGTACTTTCTATCTGTGTTACTTATTTGAGTCTAAGAGTCATTTCTACCATAGAACTAGATATTGTCTCTCATTAAATATATATAACTGTAAACTGCTTAATTCATTTATCTATTTAGATAAAATTATATTTATATAAGATTTCATGTTATTATTTCATCTTTATTATTTTTTTATTCCTTTGAAAAGTGACACTGGATAGTTTGTCCCTTTCTCATCTTAACCTTGCATTTCGGGAAAATCTGACAAATGGCTCTTAGACTCAAATAAGTAACACAGATAGAAAGTACTCAGTATAACAATTATATATGTACACTCAAAGTTAGTCGCTGCTAAAATCTTAACCTTGCATTTCGGGAAAATCTGACAAATGGCTCTTAGACTTGTTTTGATAATTAATTCTTCAATTATATTATAATTTATAACAAATTTCCTCAAACTATCTGTATGTCATTCAATTCCCGGCCACTACATTCAATGATGGACCATTTCCTTCAAATTTTGAAATACCTTATTCAATTTGTTGTATGGAGCCCGTGATATTCAACACTATGGAGCTCCTCCAGTTTGGTATCCAAGAAGAGATAAAAGCTAGCATGGGCTACTCTCAAAAATGCAGGAAAGAATACTCCACGATCGAATACAAATGTAAGTATCCACAATGTCAAGCTAAATTCAAAGTCCGGATAATAGATCAAGATAAATATGAACTACTAATCCACTCTGACTCTCATGATCATTCTGCACCTCCGAAATCAACAAAAACAATATCCTCATTATTTGTCAGAAATTATCTTAAACATTACTTTGAAAACAATATGAATCATGCTACAGCTCAACTTAAGTGTTTCCAAGACTTAAATATTTCATATACAGACGAAGAGTTACTTTCAATATTTGCACAAGGTCCAGATGCATTACGTAAATTTGCTCAAAGAGCTGAAATTGTTTCCAAACGCTTTAGTTCGGATGAAAAAGTTTCTTTAGCTATCTTTGTCGAATCTGTTCAAGAAAGTTGTCCAGAAGATTTAATTGAATTTATCTCTGAGCCGGGAAAACTAGTTTTTTTATATGCACCTTTCGAAGCGAAGGCCCTTGGTCACCAAATTTCTACGTTTCACATCGATTCAACGTATAAACTTCTAAGGGCTAACATTCCATTATATGCACTCACAGGAAAAACAGAACATACTATTGTTTTTCCTTTTTTGTATTTCTTTATTTCTCCTGACACAAGCGAAAATATTCAATATTGTGTTTGTCGTTATTTTCAATATATTAATAGAGAACCCGAGATGATAAGTATGGACTGCGCCCCACAAATAGCCGAGGCAATTGAGCGAGGTATTCCAAACTGTCATATTCTTTGGTGTGGCGTGCATGTCCTTCGCGCCATATTAAGAAAAGCGGATAAGTTTAAATCACGAGACAATTTTGAAGAATTTTATAATCTAATGAAATTATTAGTATTCGATACTAAAGAAGAATCTCCCGAGGAAGAACAGAACCAAGAAGAAGAAAATCCTAGAGAGGAACCAGCTCAATCTCACTTACTTCAAGCAGAAGAAATTGAAGAAGAGGAACAATATGAAGAAGAATTCATCGAAAATGAATTTCAACCTTCTCAAATCTTTTTACCACGAGAATCTTCTGATGATCCAAACGATTCTGAATTTATTCCAGAAGAAGAAACGTCTGAAACAAGTGAAGAAGTTCCAGAGCACCTCACTCAAGAAGAAGCTGCAGACCTAGATGCAGTTTATGATCGAATTCTTGAAATTCTTTCCACTGAACCGAAAGCCCAAAAGTACTTCGATAGGCAATGGAGGCATCATTTAGATCGTTGGAATAAGCGCTATCGCAACGGAGGTGACGCGACTAATAACGTCAGTGAGTCACATTTCAAAGTTCTCAAGCATTCTTATTTCCCAGAGAGAAGGAATATTCGATTAGACGATTTTGTTGTTGAATTATACACAACGGTTGTTCCAGCATTATTGATTAAATTTAAAGTTCAATTAATCAATAGTGATAAAGTTGTTCGTATATTACGAAAAGCTAATGACCATGAACAAATATTGGAAAACAAAAAAGTCGAATGTTTGAAAATGCTTGAAGCAATATATTCAAGTTTGCAACAAGGATCAATAGATTCAAATCTTGTTTATTGTACTTTAAAGGTACTTTTAAAAAAGAAACAATTAATGTAAAAGATTCAAATAATTTTTTATTATTATTTTATTAATTTTTTAAAATAAGGTTAATAAAAAAGTGACAGTGGATAGTTTGTCCCACACTCACTTCTTCATTTAAATTATAACAATTATTTTTGGTTTTATATTTTTTTGGATCAAATCCATTTTAATAGAATTTATATACTATTCATCTATTAGTAAACACTACCGTATATTATTTTTAAGCTATCTTATTTTTTGAACTTTTATTCAAATCTTTGGTCGCAAGAAGAATTGCATGATAAATAAAAACATTTAATCAAAGTCAATTTTATTTTTCATATTCAAATGGACTGAGTGTTAACATTTAACATTTTTTGCTAATTGTCGTCAAAAATTAGGCGTAAAGCAAAAATTGATATTTCATATGGTTTTATGATAGATAAGCATTATATTCCCACTCATTATATTCGTAAATTTTGTGGTTTATCCTTCGCTTTTAAGATCATTGAATTTGATTTTTATATAAAATAGTTATATATTAGAAAATAATATGAGTTTATGTGATATTATTTTTCAGAAGATTTTGTGTTCTTCTTCAAAATTTTATTTTTTTATTAAAAAGAATCTTTACAAAATATACATTTACTTTAATTAATATTTAAAAACGTGCTCTATCAAAAGTTCCAAAAATTCAATATTTTAGCTTTTCTGAGGTGTCACTTTTGATGGATTTCTGTTTACAACATTTTTAGCGAAATTGCGTATTGTACGTTTTTTCGCAAAACGAAACCCTTAATTAAAATTTCTCTGAAAAAGTTTTGATTTTATTTCTTTTATTTTTACATTTCAAATTTCTCGAATGATTTTGTTATTTCTGTTTTTCGGTGAGAATGCAGCAAGAACAAAATTCTACCATGTCTGTGGACATCAATCCATACAAGATAAAGAAGCAATTAGTGTTATGGAAACAACAATTGCAGATTCATTTGAACCTATAAGAATTAAATTCAGTGTAACACCGGACACACTTTCTTGTGCAGCCGCAAGTGGATCAGTCTCATGGAATGGTGTTAACTACACTTGCGAAGCAGATGACGTTCTCTCTGCAGAGAAAAAGACTGCTCTTGAAACTACATTAGGCAATGTCAATACATATCTTTCGAAATTACTCAAAGTTCGACGCTTAAAAGATAAAATTACCCTTAAAAATTACAAATCTTTAACTACAAGTCTTGGATCTGGCGATAATGCAGAAGTAAGCGATATCGATTTAGTTGTTAATGTTATTCCAAGACCATCTAAGCCTAATCTTGAACAAATAGCTCTAACAGCTATCACTCAAATTGAAAATCAAGCTTTTAGACCAGTTCAAGCTGTAATGTTTGTCAATACACGATACCTACCAACAACAGCAAGTAACATCGATTCTGATGATGACCGATTCTTTTATACGTTATTACACGAATCTTTACACGCCTGTGGAATTTCAGCTTCACTTTACGATCGCTATCATCCTTTGAATACATCAACACCTCACGAAAATATTGTTCTTAATGCAACGTGGCATACTAAGTTAAATACTGGTGAACAACAGAGAGAATACAGTTTCTTAGTTACTCCTAAGGCCCATCAATTCGCAATCAATCACTATAACATTACTTATATTACTTATGGCAAATCAAGCGTTGTATCTGGAATTGAATTAGAAACTACTGAAGGAATTGAAAAATCACATCCAGAGGCAATGAGATTCCAAACTGATGTCATGACAGGATTCATTATGGAAGCTGAGAAAGCGAAATTCTCAAGAGTAACTGATGTAACACTTGCAATGCTATTAGATACAGGATTTTATAATGTTGACTATACACAAATGCAACCAATTATATATGGAAATAGTAGATCTGTTAATGGAAATCCTAATCCAGATTATGGCCAAAATTTGCCACAACTAAAATTCCCCAAGGGAACATTCTATGAATTCTCAGACAGCTGGGACACTACTATGTTTGACTTTAAGCATAGTGGAACTCTCGATATTGATAGTCTTGGCTCAGCAAATTGCGCCGAAAATCATTTTTCTGATACTTATTGCTCTGCCACCTACTTTTACAATCCTATGGGATACTTTAATGTAACAATGGAACCAACTTATGACTGGGCTTTAATTAAAATCCCAACAACGAATTGCCCAAATGGAAAAGCCTTTCTTCCTGGCAACGATACAGAATGCGGAACATATTCGTGTGCAGCTAACAATTCATCATATATGTTTACATATAAAGGTGAATCAAATGCTGAAAAAACAATCACATGTACAAAAGAAGACGAAACTTATACATCATTTAAACGCTCTGGAGAATATCCATATACACTGAAATGTGCTGATCCTGTTAGATTTTGCAATACTGTTAAGCAATACGAATCTAAATTCACATCCGATCCATTATACGAATATACACCACCAGGTGGAGGAGGTGGTACACCAACTCCATCAGGTGGCAGCGGTGGCAGCGGTGGCGGCGGTGGAGGTGGTAGTGAATTGACCGATAAGCAGAAGAAAATCATCATTATAGCAAGTGTATGCGGTGGTGTCTTCCTTATCATCCTCATTGCATCCATTTGTTGGTATCAACACACCCAAAAAGATGAAGATGACGAAGATAACGATGATAAGTCAACAAGTGATCTTTACAGCAGTAACTCTATATAATCAATATGTGTATAAAGTTAAAAACGAAATAGTGTTAATAAATAATTTTTGGAATTTTTATTTAGTCATACTTTTTCTCTTTTTATGGATTTATATGCATAAAATTGAGTATGTATATTTGTGATCTTAATTATATTGCAAAATACTTCATAGATGCGAAAAAAAGAGTACGAGTTTCAAGAGATCAACAAAAAACTGTTCATATAATTGATATTTAACTCATGTCTAACTTAATTATCTAATAAAAATTGATATGTGAGGATAAATCTTTTTGAACTGCAATATCAAATTCAATAGTTTACATTCAAATGTTTAAATCACTGTTCGGGTCATCCAAATCAAATTCAGGATCCGAAAAATTGATTAAATTAAACCTAGATTCTCTAGAGAAGAATGAACAATACAGATTATCATATTATTTCCCCGTATCAATTATTTATTTACATGATGACAAGATTACTGGTACTATAGATATCAATTTAAACGGTGCAAGATCTCTTACCTACGAATCGATATATATTTCCGTAGTTGGCCAAAACAGAAATAAATCTGATGGTTCATTAACCACTTTCTACAAGCGTACAAAGCAAATTGCTGAATCTGGAACTCTAACAAAAGACGCTACTATCAAATTTGAACTCAGACCTCTCGATTATGAAGTTCCTTCCTTTTATGGAACGCATTTTGATTCAAGGTATCATGTTCAAGCCTCAATTAAGACAAAACAGCAAGAAGTAAACGATGATGTTCCAATTTACGTTCTATTTGCAGAGGCAAAGCCAGATTCAATCGTTCCTTTGAAAGCAGAAGTCGGTATACAGAATGTACTTCATGTAGAGTTTGTTATTCAGAATCCTTCTTTTGCTGTCGATGACTGTATTATCGGAAAAGTGAATTTCCTCATTGTAAAAATCAGAATTGTCAAAGTTTACATACAAATCAAGCGTTTGGAATCATTCAATAACGGTATTGTCACATTCAAGCAAGATACAATCATTTGTCAACATGAAATTCTTGATGGAATCCCTGTCAGAGGAGATTCGATTCCTATTAGATTCTACATGGGCGGTGTTAAGGCCTGGCCATATCCAAAGAACACAAGTAAGTTCCTTAATGTTAGTTATAGCATTAGATTCCTCCTAGTTGATGAAAATGATAAACATTATTACAAAGATCTTGGAGATTATGTACCATGTTATAAAAAAGAATAATTAATAAACTATTATCTGTTTCAATAACTAATAACATTTACTCTTTAACAAATTGAACTGGAAATTGTAATAAGCAATTTTTCTGCCATGATCTAAAGACATCTGTCTTTTTGATCGTTTGTGCTATATGTGGGAACAGAACTTTTTGCTTCCATTCTTCAATAACTGGTCTCCAAGCACGAAATTCAATATCATTATTTGGATTTGGATGTTTTAGCTTACTCATGTATTCTTCGTACTCTATTTGATCAAGGAATAATCCGTCGCCTGGTAATAACTGGATTCTGCATGTTTCTTCTGTTAATGATCTCGAAACTTCTTCTGGAGTAACTTGGTTGAAAGAAGCGGCTGTAACCATGGATATCATCTTTCTAATCTGGTTGAGCATGAAACTTATGCCTCTGATGTAAAAGAGAACGTATTCCTCGCCATTAATTGTGAAAACGTCGCCAAAAGTAAAGTCTGTAATAAATCTTTGAGCACCTTTGTATGTTTTAGGTGTTCCATTAGTATAGTTGTGGAAATTATGCTGGCCAATGAAGAGAGGACATATTTTTTGACGTAAATAATCTAAATGATCTGGATCTGTTGATGAAAAGACATGTAATGGGAGTAAATAGTTGTATTTTCTATGTGTTGCGAAATCTTTAACTGGAAATGGTGAATTTGTACATAAGCAAGACATTATTTTTATTGTTGAATCCGATGGAAGATTTTTGTTAATTAATTCTGGTATTTGTGAACACTCCATATCACAAATTTCATAAGATTTAAAGCAAATAAGTTGGCCGCATGCGTGAACACCAGCATCTGTTCTAGACGCTTCATTCCAAGCTATTTTTCCTCTGCGTTTATAGGAACCTTCTGGCAAAATGCCTGATTTTTCTAATCCTTCAAACAAATCAGAGTCAATTGTCCTAACTTTCTCGTTATATTGCAAACCATGATAACCTGTTCCAATATAGCGAAAATAAATAACAACGCATGCTGGTTTTTTGGTAATAAGATATCTGTTTGATTCTGGAAGTGGTGTTGTTAATTGAACCTCTTTATGAATAAAGCTAAATATTCCGCCCATAACTAGGAATTTTGTCTCCCCCAGAATATATTAATCAGGCCCTAAATATTTGTTTTACAATTATAGAAAAATCGTGAATAATGCAAAATTTAAATCAAAATTAGATACACAAAAATGATGTGTATTTGAAATTTGCATGTTTTCGTATAGATGTCAAAATTCAAATTGAATAGACAATTTAATTCCGATCAAAAATTTAGATATCATAAATAATTATTTTCTAATATTTTTAACATAATAAATTTCCCGAAAAATAACCGTTCGTTTACAAAATCATTTTTGAATTATCCTATGCTTTTATTTTTTCTACTGGAGCTTGTAACGTCTTCCATTGTGGATGAGTTGTTAAATGCTAGTCCAGAAGTACTTGCGCAAGCTTTCATGGAAAAATGCCTCGATCAAGGCGCGAATGAAGTTAAATGTCGTCAAAGTACTCTTGAAATGTTTGGGAATGCAGGTTTAACAAAAATAGACGTTAATCTTCAAAGTGGTATCGATAAATCAGAAACTGGCGGCTTCACAACAATCGTTAAAAAAGGAACTCGAGACGTTCGAAGTGTTACAATGAATAGAACAGACTGCACACTTCCAAATACTATATACTATGGCGGGCAGTGTCATTGCAGACTTTTTTTTGATTTTGGAGAACCAGCTAAAAAAGGTTGTTGGCGCTGCAGACCTAAGTGTTCAAAAGATGCTCTTTGTACACAAACTGAGGGTTGTAAGTGCCCTAATTTTACAATTGGAGATGGTTATAGCAGATGTGAAGTACATGTTCCAAAAATAAAGCGCGCATATGTTAAAAAAGACAAGAAGGTGATTTTCGTAGAAATTAAGCCTATTAAATGGTCTTATCCTCATGTGGCTTTTTGCAAATTCGCAAATACGATTATCGAAGGCCAATTAATATCATCCGATACAATAAAGTGCGTTCGAAATAAGCGTAAAACCAAAAATACTAAAGTTGATGTTTCGTGGGATTCTTTTGCCTTTACCCACCAAAATCTTCCAATTTCAGAGCTAGATACACCAGATGTTGATTTCGGACCAATAATTTTATTTATTATTGTGTCTTTCATTGCATTAGGTGGATATTTTATGTTTGTTTCCTTCTCAAAAGGCCAAACAGAGCAACACTTGAACGAATACTTCGATCAAGTTCAGCAATCGGGAAAATTGTAATATTATTTGTAAGTAAATATAGTGTTTGTAGTTATTTGAAAGAAAAATTTTTAGATATATTTTTATGATCAAAATTTAATTGGTAACACATGAAATCTGAATGATAATTGTTATATTACATGGAGATTTGAGAAATGTTGAATGATATTGGATGATTTGAAACAAAATTGAAAAAAATGAATTTTGAAATTCAATGAAAAGATTAAATAAGTTCAAACAGAATACAATTTATTAACAGTTATATACAAAAACGCAACAGAATTATCTAAGCATAGCAACCATATCTTCTCTTTGGTTGCATTGAGCGATACCTTTTGCCATTTCAAAGATACCAAGTGGAGAATCTTGATCTAATTTGCTACCGAATGTATAAATGATCTGGCGATTCTTTGTATCGTAGACAGCAGCAGCGGAATGGTTTCTTGGGACCTTGAAGAGGCCAATATCGCTGATCTCACCCTTGTGCTGATCGTTCATCACTGGCTTAATGTGGAAGAGGAACCACCATCTACGGAGAACGTCATAAGCGAATAAATGAGAAAATACGAAGTCGCTTGTACCTCCAAAGCAAAGGATGTAATTAGAGCCACATGCAACAACTGATGGGTAGTTGAGTGTTGTCTGTGGATATGAACCTTTGTTGGGGATAAGTTCGAATGCGCATTTCTGGAGGTCTAAAATTAACATTCCATCCGTATTGTGGGATCCGTAAATGTAGATCTTATCATATATTTGGGTAAATCCTGCGGTTGGTCTTGGCGTGAAATCACAATCTACAATTGACCAGGTATTAGACTTGAGGTCATAAACATAGATATTTGAATCTACATTAACTTTTGAAAAACCTCCCCAGATATAGATCTTTCCGTTGAAGTTTCCGATAACTGCATTATTTCTTGGGGAAGGAACCTCGCCATGGCCTTGGAGTTGGGAGAATTCGTTTGTGTTTAAGTTAACTTTGATTAATTGGTTATAATATGTCTCATTATTGTTACCACCAAAGATATAAAGATCGTTACCGATAAGTGTAGCAGTTGCATGGGATCTGCCGATTCCAAGGTCTTGTATTACTGTTGACCATGTATTGGCTCCGATATCATAGCAAACTAATTCAGTTGAGTACTCATTGTTTGCTTTTTCACCGAAGGCGTAGTAGATCCTGTGATTATTAGGATTATAAACGAAAGCAGTTCCCATTCTTGGAGAAGGTGGGTAGAAAGCGCCTTCATGCATGTGCCAGTTGGCATGGAACGGTGTTTTGATGATTGTATTACTTAAACAGTACTCATTAGCTTCTGCAAATGATGTTGACTTTGGAATATCTTCTTCGCTATCTGTGATGCTTGTATAACCGGCAGCAGTAACTGCAGAGTTATATGCGATCTCGCTTTGTCCAGCACCCATTTATTAATATAATTATTTTTGTGTTGTATTTAGAATTTTGTGAGAGAGAGTGGCCATATTATTGAGAAGTGTTAAACAAGATTGAATCGAAAACAATAATATAGAGATTTGATATTCATGATATATGAATAGTTCGTTTTATGATTTTCGACGCTGAAAAAAAATTTATTGAAATTTAATTTTATGAAATTAGATTTGTAATAGATTAATTATCATTAATTTAGAATTTGCGAAAATTTTGACAAAATTTATCCATCTTGTGATTTTCATTTAAAAATGCTATTGGCAGCTGTAGTAGTAATTTTGATATGTCCCATCATTCATAGAAAAAATTGTATGAACCATAAATTTTAATCGTCGTTCACATAATTTAAATTAATGTGTTAACAATTAAATGAGGAAATTAACTAATAATTAATTTTTACTCCCCGTAAATTCAAAGAAAATCATGATTTGAATAGTTGTAAATTACCATCAAGAATTCAATCACGAATTTTCGATCGTATGATGTGTTATTAAAATGTTTGGTTCCTTTTAGTCTATTGTTTAACATATGCATTATTTTCACTTTGGAGAAAACATATTTCACTCAAATTGAACAGATTTCTGAAAAGTTCAATTCACAAAGCCCACCTTTCAAGGTATTAGTATTTTGTGTAATGTGGAATTGTTCTATTACATTTTCTTAAAAATTGGCTCATTTCACTCATTTGAGAGTTGGATAAATCTTTATTTTATTGAATATATCTGCTTAATTAATTCTGCGTCAATCTATAAGAATATAGAAATTCAAATTCAAATTAAATATATCTTGCCAACATCTTGATAAGTATTTTTGTCCAAAAATGAATCAATGTTCTATTCAAATATGGTATAGGCAGATGAATTTCCTTTATTGATAAGATATTAAAAGATCAATATTAACTATCCTTTTGATAAGTTGAGAATTATAAGATTTCATATTGAAACACATTTAAGAATGCTTTCGATAAGATGCGGATCATATACGATGATCTAGTTTGAGAATATTTTTGTATTTGAAATCTTATAATCCCAAAGAACAATGAAAACTGCATTGTAGCAGGCTAAGATGCGCACTTTACAATGTGAATAGAATAATAATATTTATGATTTATGTCGATAAATGAATTATGCAGCCTTTCTCAAGGATATCTTTAGTCTCACTCATCTTCATGTCTTAATACTATTATAAAGTTCTTGTCTGATAAGAGAAGATTCCAAAAATGTTTTTGCACCGGAATTAATCTTGAAATAATCGGATATGAAAAATTGAGAAAAAAAATCAAAATTATCGGAAAAGAAATTTACAATGGAGGATTTTCAAGTTAATGATCCTGTTTACAGTAAAATCATGGGTTTCGTTATTGATGGCAAAGTCCCAGAGTCATGGAGACAGCCATTTTATTTCAAACCAAATTCAAACAGCTTAGTTCAAAATAAATCAGGTCCATGTGGCCTCTTTGCTGCCCTCCAGGCGCATATCATTAAAAAGCAAACTGAGTGCCCAGGATACACTAATCAGCAATTATTATGGGAATCGATGTTAGAAATTATGAGAAAAGTTAGAGGAACATACTTATTCTGCACATACATTGACCAACAAAGCCATCGCATTGCATGGAAAGCTACAGCGGATCTTAGAACAGCTCAGACATTTTTAGGTCAGAGTCGTTGGACAGATGATCCGCAAGCAACACTTCTCTTTGTAGTTTCCATTGTAATATTAGTTGGTCCTGTATGGCTTCGATACTTTTCAATTCCAGATCATGTTATTGATGAAGCTGGATATACAAACCTTACATTTGTTTTATTACTAATTACAGGAGAAGTGTTAGACTCTTATATTGATAATAATGGTTCGGTTGGTGGTATGGCTTCAAAAGGAACCACTGTACAACCCGAATTTGGATTATTATCTAATGCAGAATGCGTTCAATACCAAAAAATCGGCCATTTCTTAACGCATCCTCATCAAAATATTTGGGTTGCTTATTATGGAGCCCACTTTACAGTCATGATCGCTGGTCCTTCTGGATTCTTTGAATTCGATTCACTTTCGAAGTATCCATGGGTTCCATTCACACCAAAGCATCCTTTCACTGAGCTCCTTAATAATGCCTATCGTGGAAATTAATTTTTGTTTTTTAATAAAAGCGAATATTTGCTTTGCCTCATTTGCTCAATGTGTGTACATATTTCAATCATTTTTTCTCGTAATTCATATTTAGATCTAAAATCGTCACTAATAATTACTCAATTGTGCCATAAAACGCCATGCATGGTGATACATTCGTGCATGATGTTTAAATTTAAGCACTCATCGCACAACCCGAGATAAATATCTTATAAATCCACAAAAATATGATATTTCGAAAAATTATATGGAGAAAATGCATTAAAGGATAAATGGTAGTAAAAGTATAATCCCCATTATGAATTCTTTTATGTTTGTTCAATCTTCAATTTTTCAGAGCAATTGAAAAATGAAAATATGAAATTTATGTATATCCATATATCTACTATAAATTCCAAAAAATCGAAATTGAATGTATCTCCGACGAAGCAAAATTATTTTCTGATGTCTAACGAGAATAAGGAAGTAGTCATCGATCCAAGATTCAGAGATATCTACACATGGAAGGGTGATCTCGAAGAGTCTAATGCTGTCATTTCTATCAAAGTTGTTGATGGATTTGATCCGGCCAAAGTTACTGTCGCTCTCAACGATAAGAAGAATGCTATTTCTGTTCGTTATCCAGATCAGCCACCGATCATTGAAGGTCAACTTTTCGGCGAAGTCAAAGGTGTTTCAACCCAACTCGTCGAGGATGGCAAAGTTTTCAAAATCATCATTGAGATGCTCAAACAAGAGGATCCAGAAATCCTTGTTACTGACATCCACCCAGATACACACCAATTAGATCCAATGTCCTCTTACATCATCTTCTCTGATCGTGCCAAGACGATGAGTGATGCTCTTTCAGACGAGCACTTCAAATATCTCGAATTTGGCCTCAATGCTAACTTCGTTCCATCATTATTAACAGCTGCCGAAATTTTCCAGCATGTTCCAGATCTTGCAAGCAAAGCAATTGAATTATACATCATTGCTGCAGATAAATACGATGCTTCTCCAGCTCAGCTCCAACTTGGTTTGTTATTAATTCGTAACCAGAAGTTCGAACGTGGTTTCGAATTCATCGAGCGTGCTTCAAAGGACAAGCAATTTACACTCCCATCCATAATCCTTGGTATCTTACTTTCTCCAATTGCAGATATGGAATATCCAAAGAAGGATGCCAAGCGCGCTGCTGCTATCTTCGAAGAAGTTCTCAAGACAGAGCGCTCACACATCGCACTCCACGAACTCGCTATGCTCTACTACAACGGTATTGGCGTTGCAAAGGATGAGGCCAAGGCCAAGGAGCTTAACGAAGAAGCCGCTAAGATTAACGGCGGTGAAGTTCCTCCACTGGAAGTCCGTGATGAGACATACAAGCCAAAGCCAATGGTCGATGAGTGCGGATGCGGACATTGTCACTGCCACGAGCACGAACATGAGCACGAGCATGAACACTGCCACTGCCATGAAGGAGAAAACCATGAATGCTGCGGTAAGTGCGATGGGAAAGGCGGATGCGGCAAATGCGACGGCAAATGTGGCTGCGGCGACCATTGCGGCTGCCATGATAAGAACTAATATAATTATAAACAAATTATAGACATTTTCCATCCTTTTCAACAAAATTATTTATAATTTGGTTCATAGATCCTGTCGAATCACGAAAGATGTATGAATTTCATTCTCAATTCATTTACAATGAGACTTGTGTTTCATTTTTTCCATAAGCACACCAGTAATAAGGCACATGAATGAATACAATTTAAGTCATTTATTCATATCAGCATAACTTTGTATAACTGAGTTTATGTAGGTATACTCTCAAATAACTCTTTAGGGTTCAAATATTCAATTGGGGATTAAGAGATTGGATAACAGAAGAAAAACTAATAATATTTGTAACCCATTGCATGGAAAGAATATTTTACCCTATTTTGGTCGCTAAATCATTTGATATAATATTGAAATCGAAGTTAAAGTATTTTTGTCACTTTTTGATTTTAATTTTCATGGACAAAATGGATGAAACAACACGACAGCAATGTATCACAGTAACAAAAGAATTGATCAACCACCCACTTGCATCATATCTTGCAGAAAAAACATCAACAATTAAAGAAGATTTATTGAGATTTGAAGATGAAATTACAATAGGAGGCATTTTAGTAAAACTCAATGAAAATAAATACAGTAGCATCAACGAGTGGAAAGATGAAATGAACAGATTTTGGGAAGAATGTTTGCATGAATATCAGAAAGGAAGCCAATGCTACGCAGCTGTTTGCGTTTTAAGTGATAAATTCCAGAATAAACTTGGAACGATGAAATTCACTCCCGAAGAACGTTGGATTCAAAAAGTTAAAGCAAACGTAAAGATATTACTTCAATTAATATCGTCGGCAAACTCATAAATCTCTATGGCATCATAATTTCATTACAAAGAACAATTTTCTCATTACTATTAGAAATATTATATGATTTTTACGAATTTCAAGTAATTAGCAAGTAATGTCATCATGTCTGTCACGATTACCAAATTTTCTGATTGTTTTATTTACAATGTACTTTATTATTGTTTATATTAAACTTTTCTGTATAAAAAGTCAAGTATACTATTTGAAAATTTTATTTTTAACATAATAATACACATATAGAAGTTTAGAAAAGTGAGATACCATTTGGAATTATAGGGATTTCAGAAGGAGCATTAAAAGCATGGAGTGATGTATTAAACTTAAAGTCTCTGATCATCACTTTAGAAACATAATTCACAACATCTTGAGATTGATGATTTCTGTAGATTTTAATGAGGAGTTCTAAAATTATTTTATTCTGTTCAACAACGGAATTGGAAGCAATTCTAGTAAGTACATCTAAGTATGAATCATTTGAAAAATCGTTAATAAATTGCTGTGGTAAAAAACCGAATTTATCTTTTTTGTTATTTGGGAATGAATCATCCAAATTTCCAAGTCTATTGAAACAGGAAAATAAATCACATATAGCCTTTGATTTAGATATTGATTGAAACTCTCTGAGTGTTTGCATTTGAACTCTAAAAACAATTTTTGTGTTATTATCATAGACAGGTTCATTCAATATATCTTGAATCTTCTTTTCACTTACTTGGGCAGAGTTCTTCAATGTTTGTATAAAATTATCTGTTGAACTTTCAATTTGCATATGAAATGAAAAGTGACAATTTTGTAAAATATTCTCTCAGAGAACAAGAACAAAGCATTCTACAGAATTTATCATGGGTTGGATATTAATGAAAGAGATGAATAAGAATATTCTTGTTTCATTACGCAGTATAAGAGATTGGAGTTTGATAAATTTCAATAGAGTTATTGATTAAATATTACGCCATCCGATGTGGAATCAATGAAAACAAAGCTCAACTTTCTTTCTTTTGCATCATGTGCAACAATTATAAGTGAAACACGAAATATGATTGCTGATCTACTGTTTATTAGAAAAATTATGTTAAATATTGCTATATTTTACCTCTTTTGAGGGTGTGTTTTGATCGGATATTTCTAATTTCTGATTAAGATGACTTGGATGTTTCATGATTAACTGTAACATTGATAACATCAATCCGCTCTTTGTTCATGATCTTTTATATGACTAAATACAGCTCGGCTCATAATTTTGTAATCAATGATCGGATCTCATAATTTTTCCTTCTCAAAACTAAATTTTTTCCTGATTCACAAAAAAATTTTTTTTTATTGTTCGGAAATGACCGCCCTCGATTTTATCGAGAGGAAGGTCATTTCGCACAGTCCTTCTCAATTCGAATCAACCCTTACGACCCATGCAATAATTCAAGCTTCTCAAATCGTTGACCCGCAAAAAAAGATAACTTTAATTTTAGATTTAGATGAAACACTTGTGCATTCGCGTTTCCACAAGCCTGATTGGTATGACTATGAAATGCCAGTTCAATACAATGGAATTACATATACGATTTATGTTCAAAAACGACCTGGATTTGATGAATTTTTCAAAGTCATTGAACCACTGTACGATATTTATATATTCACTGCATCTTTACCCGAGTATGCAGTCCCTGTTGTTCAGAAGGTTATTCCTACTTTTCCCGCTTCAAAAGTTCTTACTCGATACCATTGTCAACTAATTGATGGAACATTAGTTAAAGATTTAACCATTTTTGATAGAGACCTTTCATCTATTATGATTGTCGACAATTCTCCAGCTTGTTACAAATTACAGCCAGAAAATGGAATAGAAGTGTCTTCCTGGCTTGGAGATTTGAGTGATGATGAATTACTTTCCTATTTGCTGCCAATCTTAGAGGGTGGCGCAAATGCGATCGATGTTCGTCAATATATTTATAATTGTAGCCAATAGATTTTGTTATTAAAAATTCGCGTTTATAGAGTGATTTTAAAATATATGATAATATGTTTAGTTTTGAGAATATGGTTACGATTATAATATATTTGTTAAATTCATCAGAATATTGGACTAATTATAAGAAGGGTATTGCAGTTTTGATTTAAAGAAAGCTAATTCCGGAATATAGCTTATATTATAGAAGAATTGAGGATAATTTAACGAATTCCAATTTTTTTTCCATCTTACTACAATGATGAAAGGATCAACATTGAACTATGAATATAATTGTAATCATTATTGAAGAAAGAAGCTATTCATTTCATATGAATTGATACAAGCAGTATATATATAGCTTATCAACAGTCATGAAAAAATTATGGAACTAAGTGCACAAATTGAAATAGAAATAGTTTTCTAGACAAGAAATTATCTGGAAAATTAATGTTTTATTTGAGATTTTATTATCTAGTTGAAAGAAATGTATGTTACAGTGCTATGTAAGTATATGCACTTAGGCAAGTTTTGAAAAATAGCAATCAGAAAAAAATTGGACGGACAATTTAAATTTGAGACATTGCCGATTAATAACATTTTTCCTCTCAATTTTTCTGAGAATTTCAAAAAATTTGCATTGGGATCTCAAAAATTGCCAAATGAAGGATTTTTTATCAGACAGATCGAATATACTGGTAATATTTATTATGTTTTTACTAATATCTCATATGAGGACGGGATCAAAATTTTCATAATCGGTCATCTCACTTTTCAAAATCCTTTATTATGAAGTCTATTCCTCCTGCCAATTTATGCACAACAGACTTCCCAATTGGTGACCTCAAAGCCCCACAATATGCTGCCGGCTTGACACCAAAAGAACTCCAATATGCTGCAAATATGATTCTTGCCCAAAATGCTGGTGCTTTAGTTCTTTTTGACCAAGTTTCCAAAGAATCAAAGAAGATTCATGCTTTCCTCAGTGCCTTCCTTACAGAAACACCAATCGAAAAGCTCAGAAACGCAGAACAAAACTCACCTCTCTTCTACTTGTTAGAATTTGCATGCGCATTCTATTACAACTCAGGAAACTATCTCGGCTTTGGTGATACAAAGTTTGTACCACGTTTAACAAAGGAACAACTCCGCGAAATCGTTAAAGAGAACGCCCACGTTTCCAAACTCCTCGACGAATGCATTGAAGACATCTACGACGTCTCCGGTCCAAAGTCACAGCTTGGATTTAACCCAGATGGATGCACAGTCTACTATCAACCAGATGATTTCACACAGAGTGAAGCAGAAGGCATCGATCAGGTTCTCAAGGCTGCAGGCGTAAGAATTGAGAACACAGCAATCATCCGTCATGCTGATAAATACGAAGTTTCAGTTGCATCAATCGAAGTCGACGAAAAAGGCCAAAAGGTCGGAACATACAACGGAAAGGATGTTTACGTTACAAAGGGACGCTCCTCAGAAGCTCTCAAGAAGGTTGTTAAGCACCTCAACGAAGCATTGAAGAACGTAGCTAACGATACACAGGCAGAGATGATCAAATGCCTTATCGAACACTTCACAACCGGTTCCGTGGCCGCCCATGTCAAATACAGTGAGCATTGGGTTAAAGATGTCGATCCAGTTGTAGAAACACATACAGGCTTCATTGAGAACTACCGCGATCCAAAGGGATGCCGCTGCGAGTTCGAAGGCCTTGTTTCATGCGTCGACAAGAACGAATCCGTCGCTCTTCATAATTTTGTCGATTCATCAGCAACAATCCTCAAATTATTACCATATCCAAAGGAATACGAGCGTGCTACATTCAATCCACCATCATACAACGCATTAAACATCTTACAAATGACATCTACAGGATATCCGATCGGAATTAACATTCCAAACTACGACGAAATCCGCTTAAACGTCGGATTCAAAAACGTCACCCTTTCCAACGTTCTCTCCTCCGTCGCTGTCCAGAAGAGTGTCTTAGATATCCTCGATCCTTCAATCCGCGACGTATTTTCAGAGTACTGCGAGCAAATTGAGTCTCTCGCTGTTGCCGCCCACGAACTCTACGGCCACGGCAGCGGTCGCCTTCTCAAGCAGAAGGACATTGAAGGAGGTAAAGTAGATGATCTTCTCAACCCAGGCCGTAAAGTCGAAACTTGCTGGCCAGAAGATGGCACATCCTTCGATCAGATGTTTGGCGCTTGCTCATCAGCTTACGAGGAATGCCGTGCTGAAACAACAGCTGTTTACCTCACTTTCTTCGATGAAGTTCTCGATATTTTCAATGTGGCCAAAGATAAAAGTGTCAGGAGGAACTTCCTCTTTGTCACCATTGTCAAGATGCTTGTTGCAGGTCTCCGCTCGATGTGGTGCTACTCCGCAGAGGCTAAGAGGTGGACACAGGCACACTCCGCTGCAAGATTCGCCATCCTCAGAGCTTGCATCATGTGGGGCCGCGGTGCTGCAGAAGTTAAGAAGCTTCCTGATGGCGGATACCAGCTCTTCGTCGATATCAACAAGCTCGACGGAATCCAGGACGCAATCACAAGGCTCCTCAAGCACCTCACTTACTACAAGTCAACATGTCTTCCTGGCCCAGGAGCAGATTTCTTCGCAGCGATGACAGCTATCGATGACAGATGGATGGCAGTGAAGAAGTTCATCGACGCACAGCCAAGGAAGAGACCTGCTTACTGCGGTGGCGTCGTTCGCGGTGAAGCTGGCAATTACAAGATTGAATCTGTTGTCCAAGACAAGGCAACACCACTCGATGTCGCTCTTACATTTGTTGAGAATATTAACCGTGCTTCTCAGTAAAAACTTTATATCATTTTTTATATATAAATCTTTTTTTATTTATTTAAATCTTGTATGATGATAAGTAATGTTGAATGAACTTTTCAATCAAGTTTATTTGCATAGAATATAAGAGAAAACTCTTTATTTTGTCTTGTTTGAAATAAATATTGATACCATTTCTTCGTTATTTTCACTGTTTGCTAGTTGGAGAGGGGTTAATTCATCTCCGTCTTTAGCATTGATATCTGCACCATTTGAAATAAGAATTTCTGCAGTTTCTTTGTTATTAAACTTGGCTGCATCATAAAGAGGGGTAGATCCATCTCCGTCTTTAGCATTGATATCTGCACCATTTGAAATAAGAATTTCTGCAGTTTCTTTGCTATTTTTCTTGGCTGCATCATGAAGAGGGGTAGATCCATCTCCGTCTTTAGCATTGATATCTGCACCATTAGAAATAAAATATTCTAAAAGTGATGAAAGATGGAAATTCGGAGAATAAACAAAACATGTGTTGATGTCATTTGTTTGATCCAAATAAACTAAAAATGATTGAAGATTATTGTATATAGAGCACAATTTTAAATCAATTTTTATATTGTGTTCATTCATCAAAAATGTTACGAAATCAATGTTGTGTGATATAATTGCATATTCCATGCATACTTCATCTGGTTTTTGTACTTTCAAGCATTCATTTATAATGTCTGTATTTCCACCCAAAAATGAATATCTGAGACAAATTGGAGTGATTTTTGATTGAAATTTCGTTCTTAAAAACTTAAAACAATCAACAGATCCATGATAACAACATAGTTCAAGTAATGCATTATCAAATCCTGAAAATGGATATAAATCACTAAATAATATTTGATCTTTATCAAATCCTTCTTTTTCTGTAAAATTTATCAATGCTATTTTGTCATCATCCATAATAGATTTGTAAATTGTTTTTTGGTCGTGAATATCAGATGAATAATGAGAATCTTCATAATCGTTAAAACTTTTTTCTTCGTTTTCATTCAATACTATTTAGATGGTATTCGTCAACAATTTGTTTGGCAATCGCTAAATATGATTTCATGTAGCGGTTGTTATAAATTGAAAGTTGGGATATTGCAGCGATTATCGCATCAGGCCGAATATGATAACAGTCAATCAGGTTTTGTTTGATTTTTTTGTAAATTGCGTTTAATTTTTCTTCGTCATTTGTTTTCAGCCGGTACAAAGCATTGTAGACATCATTATATCCTGTATAAATCTCCATCAATTTGTCATAATGAGTTTGGTTAATTTCTCCCTTGGACATCAACCAAAAATTTGAGATGTCATAATTTTACATAAATTTCATTTTCAAAAGAAGAGCTATATTCCAATAATGGTTTGTTTCATCAACAATTGCTCCATGGATACTAAATATGAAATTTTGCAGAATTCTTTTTTATTAACTCTTGATGTGTAATTGATTATATTAGGAGAGAAGCATCAAATACTATTTGTCCAATTACATTAAAAGGGAGGACAAATTTTAAAATAAATCGTTTATGAGGGATTTTTTTCATATCCAGTCTGAATTTACCTTCAGTTATACAATTTTTATGTATTTTTCTTTTTGCAAATCGAAATATTTAAAAATTGAACAATTCAATTTAAATATTAATAAGAATTAATGCCCAGCCAAGTCTCACTAACTCATGTAGGTGTAATTATTTAATTAGCATTGTTTTGCTAGGACTCTGATAAAATGATGATTTGATGAAAAGTTATCAAGAAAAGTTTATTGCCGCTTTGAAGTCAAATAAAGTGTATGATGGATACCATCATTGGGGAATGAAATGCATGTAAGGTTTTATAAAAATTATTTCAAATCACTTTTTTTACAAAATCTGATTCATTTTGATTCAGAATAGAAAAAATTGAAAAATAAGGTGTACAAAGACCTATGTAGTATTTTTTATTTTGTAAACCATTTCAGAAATTTTTTTGTAAAGAAATTGATCGCCTGTTTATAAATTATGGAGGAATATGGTATTCAATGGGATTTCACACGGTATAATCGATCTTCTGATAAAAAGAAGGTTAAGTATCGTGTTGCTACAGCATATGACATTAAAATATTTAAACAATGTCCAGTTTTGTCCCTATTGAATCTCAAAAATGATCAATCATACTATAAAAATATGAGATCGATTGTAGAATCTATATCAGGTAAGAATTTCCCTGATCCTCAAAACCAAAAGTCAGCATTTTTATCAAAAATTAAGGCAAATAAAAAAATATTGACGCCTGAAACGCCAGAGGAAGTGATGGATCACATAAGCCTGCTTCCCAATACATTCGATATTTATCAATACATGTATAATTTTCAAGAAAGTTTACAAAAACCCCAACTTTTTTTTGAGACAACGAAATTAGTAATCAATAGCAAAAAAATTGTGCACAACATAGAATTATACGAACAATTATTTGTACACCTCTCGCCATTTTTACTTCAATTCAAATCCAACCCTGATTATCATATCTTTGAACAGCAATGCATTATCATGAGCCTTTTTGAAGCAATTGTGCTTAGTTATCCCATAGAATTAAAGCAATACGCCGCATTTGTAGAGAGAGTAATCAATTGCTTTATAAATTTAATTATTCATTCCCGCGAAAGTATACAAATGTGTGCATGGAGATACCTCACATTTATCGTAAAAGTAGCTGTATTCCGTGTTAGTGAACCTGTTGCTGTTAGTTTAGTGGAAAATATCGTTACAAAGATTATTCACATACCGCAGATTCATCAGATGCTTTACCACTTACTAGTTACGATGAAAGATGTCTTTTTTCTCCCTGTCATTTACTTTTCTTCTCAAATTTTGAAAAGAGTTGAATTTGATCAGCGAGATTTGCAAAATATCATGAATGTTTGCAGGAAGAACCCAAGGATCAGACGTCCTTTTCCTATCATACGATATATGCTGCAACATTCCATTTATCCGTCTGAAAAAACTTCAATTTGTTTTTTGATCTTGAGTGAAAACAAAAGATACTTCAAGACATGCAAGTTTTTGGTCAGATGGTCGAGAGTATATATAAAAAGAACCTTCCAATGGCTTGTAATCGCTAGAAAAGCAAATAGATATTATCATTTTCGCAGATACGTTGCTTACAACCTTTGGAAGCTCTACAACCTCAATATACCTAATATATCTGAATCTATTGAGGTTGCTGCATCTTCTCTTTTGTATTTTTACCCAAATTTTCCGGATGTGGCCGGATATTTCCAGATTTCCACAATTGAGCCTGAGTTCCAAGAAGAATTCAAATATCTATGCTATAACATGGATAATTTGAAATTTCAATTATTATATCCGGCTGGTTGCTTCAAACCACGTGAAGAAGTTGACAACAAGCCGCAACAGACTCCCGAGGGTTCCGATGATGAAAATAATGACAACTATGATCAGAATCATAATTCTCAGTATAAAGTTGATGGAAACTTGGATTCAGACGAATTAAATGAAGAAAATGAACTTATAGAGAACTATGTTCAATTTGAATTCCCTCCTGTTGAGTATTCCTCTGTAAATTCGACCAAATCTTTTACGAAGAAGAGTAACATCAGAAAGCGCCCTGCCACTTATGTGCCATTTTTGATATTGGTCATTGCAATGTTCTCCTATTTCGTTTGGTTTGCTTATTTTCAATATGCAAAGTATTAATAGATTTTATGTTATGTTTTAGTAAATGTCGTAGCGATTTATATTTGTTTTTAATTTCACAAGTCTCTGTTGATCAGATTTATCTTCTGGAAATTTATCGATTTCTATTTCGTATTTTTTTAAAAAATGTTTAGAGCAAATAAATGAGGACATTAGATGCTGATTATAATTTACGATGAAACTGAACTACTATCCAACTTTTCATATTTTATTATCAATACGTGATTTATTCAATTTGAATTTAAATTTGTAAAAGTGACGGAAATAATAAAAAATAGAATCTGACAATTTGTCAAATCTTTTTATATGATTACTCGGTAATATAGCAACTATTGTTCAACTTTTCAGATCATCGCATAAAATTTTTGAGTGCTTGTATCAGAAAATAAAACACTTGTGTATGTATGTGTGACCTCTTTAATTCTGATTGAAAACTACAATTTTTTGTCTCATCCACCATTTATGGAATTTCTTTTAAATTTTCTTTATTTGCAATTATATCATGAATTGCATACTTATCGAATTCAGTTTTAGCTCAAAATATAAATCATAGCCTTTCAAAAAATTAGCAGACTTTCTTCAATTATCAAATTCACAGTTAAATTTTATCAATCCTCAGCAATACTATGTCAAGACGTTCATCCAGTCATCACTCAAAGAAACCATCGAGTACAACGAACTCATCTAGCTCTCAGTATATGACTTATTCATCAGAATCCAGTCAGCCAAATGAAGAATGTTTCTCCAAAATAAAAAACATGCCGAATTTATATACTCTTACCAAAGGATCCATCTTTCTTTTGGCTTTGCGAAATGACCAATCGTTTTATACGCATATTGGCTATTCAGTTATACCAAACAATGGTAAAATCTTGATATCTAAAGAAACGGAAAAAGGTGCAGTTCCTATTGATAGCATGATTAACAGTGATGGGGTCGTTAAACATTATACATCTCCCACACCAATTATCAACGAAGATTATAAGGTTCCACCAAAAGCTGTTATTCTTCGATTCTTCATAATTGATGAAGTGAAAAATGCCTATCAAATTGTCCAAACATTGCTTATCGATGGTTGTCAAGAAACTATTCGTGTTTCCATTACGGGTGACAAAAATTTCTCTAATTCATTCACTTTCAAGCAGCCCTTGAATGTTAAAAGAAATATGCCTCCAACCTATCCATATATTGATTTTCACCATCATAACAAAGTTAGAGAAATTGATGGTGTTTTACGCCATAAATTTAAGTTCATGCCTGAAATGGTTAAGAATACAGCAGCTATCCTTGTTTGCCAAGTCATAGGAACCAAAAGAATCCAAGTTATTTCATCTTATCCATTATGTGGAAAAGAAACGATTTTTGTTGAATGTACCAATGATAATTATGAACCTCGCACTCTTGATCAGGTCAAATTCGATACTTGCCGCATAAAACATCTCAACCACAAATTGAATACATCATTCAAGCAAAATGCTTTATACCCTGGCATGATTCTCATCAAATTAGTAAGACCTAACATAGAAAACAGAGTTCAAGTTTATGATACTTTATATCCAGGACCAGAAGTTCACGATGTCAAGATACGTGTAGTAATTCCTAAATCAGATAATGAATACTCGTTAATTACTACAATTCCTGTACCAAATACAAGAATTATCGAAGAAAAGAGAGAACGTATTGATTTCAGGCACGAACTCTACAAAGAGAGGTATGGTAAAGGTTCTGAAGATGAAGACGCCATTATTGAGTATTATTATTACTCTGATGATGAAGAAGAAAAAGAAAAAGTTGCTGTTTTGCCAAAGCTTGTTCTTTATGTAGATGACGATGGAAGGATCATTGATAAAGATGGCACAAACGCTAACTCTTCTAAACTTAACGATATCTTGACAAAGATGAACATGAAAGGTATCAAAGTTAACTTGCAATACAAGTAATTGTTTAATATTAAAGTAAACTATCATGTTATTTTACGGAAATTTATCTCGATAAATTATTTTTAAAAAAAAGAAAAAAATTAAGATGTAAATGGTAAGAGTTTTTCTATTTACTCACGTTTGTATATGCTTAGTCCTTAGCCTCATGAACCTTGATGACATCTGGCTGTGACTCCTTTGGACCAGAAATGCCGGATGGGTCCTGAGCGAGCATGATGAGGACGCGGATACCGATTGTAGCCTGCTTCATTGGGATGTGGCCGACAGCCTGTGTGACGAACTGCTTTGTAACATCACCGGACTTGACCATGTAGCCCTCTTTATACTTGGATGTAGAAGCACGAGCACCACGGAGCTTGCCGGAGATAGCGACTTCGCAGCCACGAGCGCCAGCATCCATAACGAAACGGATGATGGAGTAGGCAGCACGACGAGCTGGGATACGAGCGATAAGCTTGTAGCGGAGTGACTCGAGCTGGTTGAGAGCGGAGAGACCCTTGCGCTGGATACGGTCGATAAAGATCTCAAGGGAGTCTTCCTTAAGGCGCCAACGCTTCTGGATCATCATGCGGACTTCCTGGAGACGGCGGCCGTGGTTGTCAACGAATTCCTTTGTGTTGGCAGCCTTGATGATGATTTCTGTGCGTGTTGGTGTTTGGCGAACTTCGCAGCCACCATAGCCTTCTTTTGTGAGTTCACGTGTAAGGAGCTCATTGAGTTCGGCGTAGAAGAGGCCTGTTTCGATAATGCGGCGGACTTTAGTGCAGCGCTGAGCCTTCATAAAGTTCAAAAAGGCAGAGCAAACCGCAAAAATCTCACAATTTAAAATTTGTCACTTTTACCGACCACGCTCTTGGATAAAAAAGTTTTTTAATGCAATAATTTGAAATACAATTTCAACTAGATTCCATATTTGTGATTACAAATTTCCAAAAATATTTCGAAATTCTAAAATTGAACTCAAAAAAAATTTGATATTTCCATCAAATTTTCAATTTTAAAACTTTTTTGGAGATTTTTCGCGGGAATAATATGGGTAGATATCTTTATTTTTTGATAGTAAAAACTGTATTCCATAAAATATGTTTTTTAAACCAATTTTAATTGATTTATATATCAAAAATGTAATAAAAGTGAATAATATGATCATAAAATCCAATACCACAGTTCATACGCCAATTCTTGTTAGATAGAGAAACAAAAGAGCTAGATCTAAATTAATTTTCAACATTTGGGATTAAATTTTAATTGATTTTCGTGGTTTCTGATAAAAATACTCTAGCTTTTAAGCCAGGAGAGGATATTAAAGATACAGTTAATGCCTAATATCTAAATTAAGTTTATAGTAAATACAAAGCAATAAGAAAACAAACAAATTTTATTTAGTTTATAAAGATAATGTTAATTCTTATGAGTCTTAACATACAGATCGTTATTTCTTGGATTGAGGTCCTCTTAATGATTGACAGAAGTCAACAAGAACAATTCTGTTATCAATAACAGCTCGTTGCATTTTCTTGTAAGCGTTTTCTGCTTCAACAGCCTTTGAAAATTCGATGAAGCCGTAGCAAAGAGATTGGCCTGTTTTCTTGTCTTTCAACAAGTCAACTCTTGTTACTGTTCCGAATTTGGAGAAAACGATTCGTAAACCATCTTCTGTCGTTCTTGGATGCAGTTTGCATATGAATAATGTTGTATCAGGTGGTCTGGCATCTGCATCAGGTATATCTCCAAGCATTTCCAAGATTTCAGCGTTATGCTGCGTTTTCAATTTTTCGATTTTTTCAAGACTTTTTTCTGGATCAATGTCTTCAAGAATTTCATCATATTCGAGCCTATTAGTTTCTTTGACTACTCCATATGGTACAAAGCGAGTTTTAAGAGCTTCAAAACCAGGCGGGTCTTCAAAAGGATCATATAAAATTTTAGTACCTAGTATTCTAATATTTTTATATGGTCTGTAGGTTTCATCGACAAATTCTTCAGAAATTGACTTAATTAATTCAAAATTTTCAGATATTCTCCCGAAAATTGTTCGGATTGAGTCAAAACGCGAAAGATCGCGACCTAAAGTAATAAAAAACTCAGATGTATTCTGGTCTTTAGCTGAATTGGATGTACTAATGAAACCTGCTGTTGAATGAGATAATTTATTGTTGATTTCATCGCGAATATACATTGTGTTGTTGTTTGTTAGTAACTGGTATACTGTTGTGCCTCCAGGATTTTGTAAATTTCCTATTCTTAGATAAAAATCTTTCATGATTTCTAAAACCAAGGAATTATTGAAGTAATTTATCTTCGCAAGCTTGAGCATATTAAATCCTTGCATTGGCGCTGTTTTAAGGAATAGATCGACAACAAAAGTTCCTCGAGATGTTATAAAAGCAATCGACATTCAAAAATTAATTAGTTTGACATGCCGCATTAATGTTTACATTGTGTCTCATATATAGAACCTTCATAATTATCAAATATATTAATAAAATTGAAGACAATAAGAATACAATAACGTGGAAAAAGCAAGATCAAGAAAAAAATTACTATCAAATATTTTATAATATCTGTTAAAATGCATAACCACAAGTATCTTTCTTCAAAATATTACGATTTCAAAACAATTGTGCTTTGAAAAGAAAAATTGAATGTTGAAATCACCAGATTTAGAAACAGATGTGAATCAATATTTTATATACTTTCTAAATAATCTCGTTTGTCAAAAAAACAGCGGGTTTTTCAAAAAAATGGGTCAAGGCTTTAGCAACGACATCAGTGCAGGCGAGCCTTCTTCCGGGCAGAAAGCTCTCACTATATTTACGATGTCTGACGGCGTGCTGAGTCCTATTCCAGCAGTAGTTTTTTTTCGAAACCCTTCTAGTTTTATGAGCGATCCAATAATTCTAATGGAACCTCCAAATCGAGAAATACCTCGAAAAGGAGAATACATATATCCTAAAGTAAGCTATGTTGAAACAGTTAGGCATTTACATCAATATTTTCGAACGTCTGTGATTAATTCGACAGATAATATAAAAATTTGGATCTTCACTCCAATATCACAAAACTCAGACGAACGAAACGAAATGATGCATATCGTTAAATCAATTAAATTTCATATTTATTCTTCAAATGTAGTAATCGCACTAGAATCAATATTCTCAGAATCCGTTCTTCCCAAATCAATATCAGAAGCCTTTAAGAGAACTCCAGCGGCTGCTAGAACCCGAGAATTATTAAATTTCCAGGGGTTACGATACGCCCCAATTCAACTTTCTTTAGATACGAATTCTCAAGAATCATATACGCCACCCTCTTCTCCGCTCTTCGGATCTAGTGTATTTAAAGATACTGTCGATTTCGTGATGGACGGATTATACATTTCAGGCGAAATGTGTTCATCCGATTTAAAGCTATTACAGAATTTCCAAATAACACATATTGTGAATATGAATGCAAAACAATCTCCTACGAGCTTCCCAGACAAATTTATTTATTTCAACGTTCACATTATCGATTCAGTCTTCGAAACACTTACGGATGAGTTCTGGGAAGCTGTCAAGTTTACTGACGAAGCTATCAAGTCCGGCGGAAAAGTTTTGGTTCATTGCCGCAAAGGAATTTCGCGTTCTGCTGCTTTATGCTTTGCATTCCTTCTAAGATATCGTGGATACCAACCAGATGATGCAATAAAGCTTATACAGAAAGCGAGACCAATGATTTCGATAAATGATGGCTTTATGAAGCAAATTCTTGAATATCATAAGAAATTCCCTACGAAATAGGAATTATCAGATTATATCTTGTTGTTTGTAAATGCGCTTGTTTGTTTTGTTTTTGACTTTTCGTTCATTTTTTTCCCGACTCGTTTTCGATTCTATCTCATAATATCTTTGATGTTTATTACAACATTCTATTCTCAAATCATGTTTTTAGATATTAAAAAGATGAAGAAAAAATGAAATATTTTATATTGTTTTAATAACTAACAAAATCATATAATTTACAAAACAAAAAACCAAAGAATATTATTATTTTCTATGTTTCTGAACGAAAACAAGGAAATCTTGTAAGAATTGTGGGCGAGCATTTCCTTTTGTAATCCAATGGCCGCCATCGTAGTTGTTGACGGTCATTTTAGAAATGTTCGCGATCTGAGATTTGAAAACTTCGAGTTGTTTCGGATTTAAGAAGGAATCTTTTTCTCCAAACGCAAACAATGTTGGAATGCTAGGTAAATCTTGTATGTTTTGTCTGCACTTGGTTATTTCATCCATAGCTGATAAATAAAAGTGAGGAGTCATATAAGGCATATATAAAGAGCAACGATTACAAGTTGCTTCAAAATATAGAGGTGTATCGGATAAATAAGAAACTCCAGGATCATAAATCAGTGATGGAGCAATAGAATTCAGTAACATCAAGAAAACTGTTGTATATAAGCCAGGTTGCACTTTCTGCCATGAACATATCCATGGTGATTCAAGTATAATTCCATTAACGGACTTTTTAAGTTTTTCTTTTTCGCGTAGCATGAGAGAAATTATTGATAAAGCTCCTGCATTAATGCCGAATAAAAATAGTGGTAAATTATTATTTTCTGATTTTGCCAAATCAATTACTTTGAGTGTTTCATCAACAATATCGCTAATTGACAGATATAAAATTTTACCTTTGGAACGTCCGTGTCCAAGATGGTCGCAAGCATATACAATCGCACCATGTGATGTCAATACATCGAAAACATCGTGATCTATTGATCCAAAGCAACCAATATCGTGGACATATACAACAATAAATTCCGGAGGTAAATCAAGAGCTACCCATTTGCAGCCTGTTAAAGTTTCGTCACGACAAGGTATTGAAAATGATTCTCCTTCAAAAGCAAATGAAAAAGATGCTTCTGATAATTCCATATTTTATATTTTTATTTGGGGTCTATATCCAAAAAATAAAGAGGGGGAAGTGAAATTTAATAGTGAAATGAATTTTGAAACTTGTGCTGCCGTTATTGATGTTCTTGAGGCCGCACTTACATCACCAATCGGTTTAGCGCTCGAAAATCAACAGAACTCACTTAATTGTAGACTTCCATTTTCAGAAAAATACTTTACTGTAATTGATAATTTAAATAACAATAAATACAACTCACCGGAAAGCTTTTTGAAAGAGTTTAATGAAGCTATTGACGAAACAGTAACTTCAAATAACGATGAGTCAGATTTAACACTTGCAATTCAATCATTTCAGCAGTTCGTCAATGAAGAGTTGGACAAACTGTTCAAATATGACGGAATTGCATATAGATCACATACGCAACACTACATTTCAGATATTAGGAACAATTTATCAATTATTCCAAATGATATTTCAGAATTCGCTTCTTACGTTAATTCTATGCAACATCCTAAGGAGCAACCATTAGATTATGTTTACAATGATGATAGCGATATACAGGACTACGAACCCGAGGATCATGAGTTATTATCAATTAAAAATCAATTAATGCGCTTGAAGAACGATGAAAACTTACAAGAAATTGGAAAGATGGTTAGAGCATGTGAAGAAACGGTAATTGTTGCACCAAATGGCACGATTGGCTTTGATTTATTCAAATGCAGCAAATATACCATTAAACTGATCCAAGGAATGCTTGCAACCATGTAAATGCGAGAACTACCTACAGAAGAACCACAAGTCAATAATAATGGCGCAAATAATAGTTTATGATTTAATTTTATTCTCTTGTTAGTAATAAATAATACTTTACATTGTTGTTTTTTAAACTTTAGAATATTTACAGCCAAGCAAATAAGAAAAAAAATCAGTTCAAAAAAGAAATTTTTATTAAAATATAACAATTGTTACGAAATAACAAAAAATAACATTAAATATCTGCAATATTCAGTCCAAACTTTTCAGCAACAAACTGAAATGCTGATTTGTTTTGAATAAATTTCAATTCAAATGGCCAATCAAATTTGGAAAGGATTTCTTCATATTTATCACTTTTTCCATCTTCATCAAGGATGAAAACTGAAGGAGGAACAATCAAAGCTTCAGAATTTTCCATCTTAACAATTCTTGCTTTGATATCTGTATTTCCGTAAGAGCAAAGGACATAATACAAGCGGAGAATATCAATTTGTTCATTGGCTCCGATATTATGCAAAGATGTACCCTTTAATAAATCTTTTACCGGCAAAAGGAGATTTGGAAGAATCTGATCGAACTTATCGCCATTCCAGACTGAACGAAGAACATCTGAAGCAAAACCTTTGAGAATTAAAGTATTATAAACTTCATTTTGAATTGATTCTCTGAATTTTTCAACAGATTCTGCAACATTGAATGTATGAAGTGTAAGAAATGTTCCTGATGTAGTGCGAACCTCTTCAAGTAACCTCAGAATCTTAAAATCAGTTCTTCCGGCGTCAAATGAGAATCTGACACTTCCTCCTGTAAATCCGTTTAGTTTAAGCTTCGATAAATTAGGAGACATTCTCAGATTTCCTGAAGAATTTGTCACTTTTGTAAATTCGAAAGCTCCAGGTGCGAAAATACGGAATTTATTGACATGCTTGTCACCAAGCTTTGATAAATATCCTGATTTAGGTAATGTCGTAACAGAAAAGACTTTTCCGAAGACGCTTCTCGTTGCAGCAGTAAATCTCTTGAATTCATTGATACAGCCAATGTGAATGATAGAATCGTTCTCTTTGACCATTTCACTGATGTATTTCGCGTCATCTGCGTTTATAGTATCGCAGTGTCTGTTGGAAAATAAAAATAATTTGAAAGGTGTTTCATTTGAGATTTTACATGCGCATTTGAATATATCGTAGTAGTCATATACGTTCAAGAGTTTTGCTGGGATTAATGCAAACGCTGATGAAATTGACGGAATAACAACATTTTTGAGAGTTTCGCGATCAAAAGAATGACTAATTGTCGTTGTAATTTCTGAAGAATGGGTATACGTCTCAAAAACAACTAATCCATTGACGATTGTAATAAAAACAATTCGATCTGAAACTAATATTAAACTTATTGTGTCTTTATCTGTTGTATTGTTATACAGATCGTATAACAACACATTTAATGCAGATAATGGAACTGTTATATCGAATACGAAAACTATTAAATTTCTTTCACGAGATTTTACATCAAATTTGAAAGTCTTATTGGCAAATGTTGCTTGAGGATGGCAGAGTGGACAATCTTCTCTCTTGCCATCTTCAAGAGGGAACATTAAACATTTGCAATTTCTGCAACGCTTTGGTTTTTTGATCTCAATAATATCTCCAGATGGTTCTTCTGACTGTTGAACACATCCAAATATATCAGTGCAATCTGCTGGAGGTAGTAATTTATGAGAAAATGCAACCGTCATAATATAAAAAGTGACTTTTTTTGATTTATTTTTATGGAACGAAATCTCATGAAATTTGGGATTCATTTTTTTTATCTATCTGTACTAATAAACCTGTCTGAATGATAAGGAACTCTATATCTCTGTATTTCATTGAATATATTAATTGATTTCAGATGATAGCACAAATCGGCAAATTCAACTATTTGATAACAAACGATGAAGCAATGGTTGGAACACACCTTGACTCAAAAAGTATAAATGGCTCTTATGATTGCAATGCTTATATTGATAAAACAAATACATATTTCAATGTAATTATACCAGCAACTATCACATACAATAATAAATTCTATTTGGTTAAAAAGATAGGATCACATGCATTTCGTCATTCACATATGAGCGCAATAAAAATAGGAAGATTTGTTGAAGAAATAGGATTCGTTGCATTAGATTACTGCAGACAATTGAAAACAGTAGAATTTGATAAATATTCGTCATTAACAACAATTGGAGCAAGTTTTGGTGTTGATTCATTAATAGAATCAATTGTTTTTCCTCCAAATCTCAATTATATTTCAGATGATCTTTTTGTTACTAATAAGGTATTGAAATATATATGGTTTGGAGGTGATTTCATTAGTATTTGTACATCAAAATTGTCTTCATTTCCGAATATTAATATCTTTGTTCTGCCAAATTTCAAAAATACTTCTTTTTGTGATCACTATGTAACCATTGTAGGGGAATTCCCAGCTGATTTTATACCAACATGTAAAATTTATAATAATTACAATGCTTTTCGTTTGTCATACACACACATAGCTGTATTTATTCTTATATAAATAAATAGAAATTGTTGCACCACAAAATAAGATATTTTTTAATATCACATTTTGAAATTTACTGAAATGAATATATATTATATATTTGGGGTATAAGCCAGTTTGAATGAATATTAAAATCAACATATTCTAATTAAATATTCGAATAATTACAAAGAATCATGATATCATAAATGATGAGAGAAGTTTGTAAAACAAAATGATGTGAATATATGAAAAGGAGATTTAAAAACTTATTTTAGCAGAAATTCTCTAATTACAACATCTTTCAATGGAAACAATTCAATTTTTTTTGAAAAATTTTGACATTTTGTTTCAAAAATGCTTTTCAGACTTATCTCAACGATATATGCTTACATTCATGAACCATACATATCACTCTTGTCAAGATTCTTCTGCTATTGGTTTAAAGAACGAGATAGGGACTCCTATATAGATCCCAAATTTTGCCAAATAATTTATTTATATCAACATGGAAGCATTTGTGGCCCTTTCTACAGGCTCAATTTATCAGAGAACATCATTGAGTATTTAAAATCTATATATATTCCAGAGGAAGATAGATTCAATGGACTTCATTTAAATTCAATAAAAAGTTTAATAGCATTCACAAAAGGAATTAATCTTTATGAAGAAGATTTCGACTATGTTGCGAGACTGGCAGTTAAAGTATTTCTTAGGGAGATTGAAAAAAAGAGTCAAACTTATACCATACACACTATTAGTATGGTTGGTTTTGTAGTTGAAGAGCTAGTATTAAAATTTCTTAAGAAACCAGAGATGAACACACCAGACGAAATAATTTCATACTTGTTAGAATTTTCCAAAGCAGCAGAGCGAATTCCATGGTTTACGGTTGAATTCGGTTCAAAATTTTGTACAAAATACTTCAAACAAACAAAATTTAGATATGACGAGATCAACTGTTCAAATAATCCATTAAGAAAATACTTTGAACTTGTGGATGAACTTGCCAAAGACAAATATTATCCCAGACTTTGGCCTCACTATTGCTTAAAACGCAATAAAGATGGTGTACTTGTTCCTCCAACAGAAATATATTGACATTTGTCACTCAAAATTATGGATATCATCGCTATCAAAATTTATTGAATCAATCATCATTTATTATAATAAATTTTGAAAGAGTAAATTGGTGAATTTATTGCTCCAAGGGTCATATATGCAATAATTTATAACTATAATCTCCTAAACCATTTTGAGTGCGGGACAAATTTGCCAAGTGTCACTTTTCAATAACCTTAAATTACGCTTTTCTCATTTTTTAAAAAATAACCTTAAATTATATTTGAAGAAATTATGTCTATGATATATGTTTTATGCTAGAATCTTGGAGTTTTCATGCACTACACAAGAGCTCCAAGGTTCCAAGAGTGAATGCTCAATAGCAATTATAGAGATGTACCTTTTCAAAATGACTTTTACTGATTAAATTTAATCAATAGAAGACATTTTGAAAAGGTACCTCTACAATTAGATATACAAGAGATTCAAAGCTTCATTTCAGATAGATTTGAAACTTTGAAACTCTTGGTAGATTTTGAGTGAATGCTGACAATCATCTTTGAGAAGGTTTTCTTAAAGAAAACCTTCTCAAAGAGGTTTCTCAGGAGCCCTGAGGCTCCCTTTCGTAATGATTGGGAGCCTTGGGGCTCCTGAGACGAAGAATGGCTTCGCCGAATCTTTGATCAGCAGAGGCCAAATGAAAAGGCCTCTGCTGATGGATTCTCAGGAGCCCTGAGGCTCCCTTTCGTAATGATTGGGAGCCTTGGGGCTCCTGAGACGAAGAATGGCTTCGCCGAATCTTTGATCAGCAGAGGCCAAATGAAAAGGCCTCTGCTGATGGATTCTCAGGAGCCCTGAGGCTCCCTTTCGTAATGATTGGGAGCCTTGGGGCTCCTGAGACGAAGAATGGCTTCGCCGAATCTTTGATCAGCAGAGGCCAAATGAAAAGGCCTCTGCTGATGGATTCTCAGGAGCCCTGAGGCTCCCTTTCGTAATGATTGGGAGCCTTGGAGCTCCTGAGACGAAGAATGGCTTCGCCGAATCTTTGATCAGCAGAGGCCAAATGAAAAGGCCTCTGCTGATGGATTCTCAGGAGCCCTGAGGCTCCCTTTCGTAATGATTGGGAGCCTTGGGGCTCCTGAGACGAAGAATGGCTTCGCCGAATCTTTGATCAGCAGAGGCCAAATGAAAAGGCCTCTGCTGATGGATTCTCAGGAGCCCTGAGGCTCCCTTTCGTAATGATTGGGAGCCTTGGGGCTCCTGAGACGAAGAATGGCTTCGCCGAATCTTTGATCAGCAGAGGCCAAATGAAAAGGCCTCTGCTGATGGATTCTCAGGAGCCCTGAGGCTCCCTTTCGTAATGATTGGGAGCCTTGGGGCTCCTGAGACGAAGAATGGCTTCGCCGAATCTTTGATCAGCAGAGGCCAAATGAAAAGGCCTCTGCTGATGGATTCTCAGGAGCCCTGAGGCTCCCTTTCGTAATGATTGAGAGCCTTGGGGCTCCTGCAGCAGAGTATCGCTCCGCTCCATTAATTTTTTTTAAAAAAAGTGCCGTGTGGCAAATTTGTCCTGTTCCCAACCATTTTTACCAGCATGATCAAGCTTGTAAACTTAGGGTAATTATTAAAAACATAATTTTGAAATGGCTTAAAACATGGAAACAAACACCAGAATTTATTCTCATGTTTTTGTCAGAATTTTTAGTAACTATTATATTTTCACAAGATTTTAAATTCATTTTCAATTAACTTTCTTTAAAAGAGTTTAGTCTACCTCGTATCTATAATACTAGAATGACAAGCATTATCCCCATTGCTAATAAATAATGGGCAATTCTTTAAAAAGGAAGCTCGTGAAAGCTTATTAGAAGAATGTGAGCCATTATTAATCTTAAAAAGAAAAGATAAAAGTCTAAATGTTCCTACTATAATCGGCTAAACGACAATAACGAATTTAGGACGTGGAGAATTCTTTGTTTATAAATGAATTTTGTGCAAAGTAAGTTTCTCATCTGATATTACAATTATCAAACTTTTAATCGTTATTTCACGGTCGATTTTTTTCTGTTAATGGAAATATATCATAAAGTGTTTCTAAAGCTTTTAAAGCTGTCAAAATCGAAGGAGGAAATTTAGAGAAATTTGGTTCAATGATACCAATTGTGATGTATTGGAATCAAAAAGAAATCAAGTCCAGAAAAATTGAAATTGATGGATATCAAAAAAAAGACTTTTCATTTTAAATAAAGCACATTATAACATAATTTTTTATGCAATAAAATAAAAGGTGACCAAACTATTTTTTGAAAGTCCGCCATAACTTTAATGGTACTATTTCAGCGTGTACAATGAATACAAAAATTCTAAGAGTGCCACATAAAATAGTACTTTAGACTTGAGTTAATGCTACCAAGCAAATGTTAAAAAGATGACTTTAGTGTTTTGATAATCAAAGATTAAAATCATTATTGTCTAAATCAATAATCATAACGACAGAAGTTAATGTTTTTCCATAAGTGCTTTAAATCCACTTTTAAAAGTATACCTCAAAAATCAAAATATCAAAAAAAATTGGCCGATAGGTTTGGCTTTAATTTTTGTCTGCTTTTATGATTTGATATGGATGTTATAATTTTAAAAGTTGAGCCAAATTCACCAATAGATTTTTGAGATTTGCAAATACTCAATAATTTTCAGCGTGTTATCTTTTATTAAAAGAACTATTTGGTTTCAGTATCATATAAATTGATATTTACTTTCTATTTGAACCTTCATTTAGCTAATGATTTAATAATACAGATTTCATCTAGTCCTTATAAGAGAATTTTGAATTTGTTATAATAAAAAAACAAACAGATATAGCTTACACTTCTATAATAAAGATACCTTTTATAGAAATCAGTATGAAATGTGTTTTTTGACACGTAAAGCTCTCAATTCATTATAACATGTTTGTCGATTTTTATATATTTTTCGCTTTCATTATCTATGATATTAAAAATTATGTCATCAGAATGTGAAATAATTAAACAAATGCCCTACGGGAAGTATTTTAAAAATTGATTGTAATTATAGTTAGATTAACCATCATCACTTGCAAACTAAAAAAAAAAAAAAAAAAAAAAAAAAAAAAAAAAAAAAGGGAGTGGGGCTTCCAGGCACTTCGTGCCTTCTAGCCCTGAAGATGTTTTGTCACTTTTCTGTCACTTTTCAGGGTAAAAACATTTTTATTATATATATAAAATGAATTTTACAAAACCACCGTTACCCTTCTTTGGAAATAAGAGTAGATGTAAAGATATTCTATTGAGAGAACTTAAGAAACTACCGAATGGTCTAACATTTGTAGATTTGTTCGGTGGAAGTTTCTATATATCTCATTTGTGCCATACCGTATTCCCAAACTCAAAGATTATATGCAATGACTTCGACAACTATATGAACCGTCTCAAACATATACCAGACACAAACAAAATATTGAGTGAGTTGAAAGAAAAGACCTATAGGCAAGATGGAACGTATACCATTAGATAAGAAAAATACTGTCAGAGAGGTTTTGAAAAAAGCAGAGTATATTGACTGGGATAGTATATCTTCTAGACTATTGTATAGTGGTTCTATAAGAGTTCATGACATTGAAACACTTATGTCAAAAGTTTTATATCTTAACTATACAAAGGTTTTCAAAGAGAACATAGAAAAATATACTGAGGGTATAGAGTTTGTGAGATGTCGTTGGACAGAGTTGTATGAAAAATATAAAAACAAGGAAAATGTTTTCTTTATAGTAGACCCACCGTTCTATAACACATACGATTTTCAATACCAAGTAGACTGGACTTTGAGAGACTCTTTAGAAACTTTAGACGTTTTACATAACCATCCATGCTTTTACTTTACATCCGATAAAAGTGGTTTGGAAAGTGTCATGAGATGGTTAGAGGACATACATGACTATGAGTTTATATATGACAAGATAGAATATGAGAGAGGTCCTATAAACCGGAAAAAGTGTCATAACAAAGAAATTTTACTAGTAAGTAAATGTGGTTTGAAATCGGATTGTTGGTTTTAGGGTAGAAGGGTATATCTAACCTCTTTTCTAACCTCTTTTCTACCCTCTTGAATTTTCATGAAATTTACACCAAAAATATATTTTAGGGTAGAAGGGTATATCTAACCTCTTTTCTAACCTCTTTTCTACCCTCTTGAATTTTCATGAAATTTACACCAAAATATATTTTAGGGTAGAAGGGTATATCTAACCTCTTTTCTAACCTCTTTTCTACCCTCTTGAATTTTCATGAAATTTACACCAAAAATATACTACTAGGGTCATTTACGAAGAAATTTCAACAAAGTCTTTACGAAGAAATCTCAACAAAGTCTTTACGATGAAGTCTTGACAAAGTCTTTACGAAGAAGTCTTAACAAAGTCTTTACGAAGAAGTCTTAACAAAGTCTTTACGAAGAAATTCATGAAAATTCAAGAGGGTAGAAAAGAGGGTAGAAAAAGAGGTTAGATATACCCTTCTACCCTAAAATATATTTTTGGGTCATTTACACTCATTACGAAGAAGTCTTAACAAAGTCTTTACGAAGAAGTCATAACAAAGAAATTTTTATGTAAGTAAATGTGGTTTGAAATAGACTACTTGTTTTAGGTTTTTTCCATTGTGTCATTTACTTATTTGACGTGGCAGAAAGATATAGAGAATATGAAGATGAACCAATGCTGCAAATTTCAGCATATGTACTCGTAAGAGATATTTTTATCTAATATTAAATGGACGCACAGAACTTAGCGAATGCACAGCAACCTGGACAACCAAACCCAGAGAATATTTCAGATGAAGTTAGAATACAAACTGCAATGGCAAACTATGGTCAAGTGCCAACAGATGTACAAATGCAAACTGCCATGTCAAATGACGCTGCGTTAGGTTTGCCACCATGGTATGCAAATATGAGATGGAAAGAGTTTTATACAAAACCCCGAAGTGGGATATAAACAACTCTATGCAGATGACGCGAACACAGGAGTTGACCCAGAGTATGTTTTCTACCAGAGGAGAAATAGAATGTATGAGCTCCAGTTAAAGAATGCTATGGAACTCAACAGGAAACGTAAGAGACTAGGCGGACATTAGATTTTAATATAGTAAAATGGGTTTCTTCAGTAAGATAGGAAACTTCTTTCGAAATGTTGGAAGAGTATATGGAATGGAATAAAAACCGTAGGAAGAGGAATTTGGAACGGAGTCAAAAATATTGGTAAAAGAGTAGGTCAGTTCGTTGGTATTATACCTAAAGACCCTGAACCAGAAGAACAAGCTTCCTGTTATACAACAGCCTGAACCTGCACCACAGTCTAGTTGGCAACCAAATCCAACACCTCAACCATATTAAAAATTATATTTTTACCGTTCGATAGTAGTTGTATATGAAACTAAGTTCTAAGTAAAACGCATGGTATAATGGAACTATTCTCTTTCTTCCATCTGTTGTAACCATACTTGAAAGTCTGAAATACTTCCACTTGGTGGTTCGTATAGCTTTGTAGGTTTTTCGTAAAAGTCATTTGCCAAGCATAAGAAAGAGTTTTGTGCACCAGAAAATGAAGCATGAACTAATAGCATCTGAGTCGAAAACATTTTCATATGTTCCATTAGGGTTTTCGACTTCATAAAAGTTCGGGTGTACTGGAATTCTGCAGGCTGATTTAACATCCTCAAAAATCTATACCATGCCAAGTTGTTATATTTTGTAGAAATATAAACGTCTTCTCCAAGGTCTTCTATTCTATTGAATTTAACAGTTGCATTTTTCCTGTCATATAAAATATCGAGATGGTACTCTCCTTCGTCAATGTTGTACTGTTTTGCATATTCGAGATAGATATCGTTTATTTTTTCTTGAAAAGCTTGAAGAGTTGTTTCTAAGTTTACAAGCAAATTCACTTGTAAAAGTTTTCCCTGTTCAAATTTCTCATACGTACGTTTTTCTTTGTTATAGTATCGAACTTCAAAAGCGACCGTAAATGGGAAACCATGTATGGCTTCTGAAATGAACTTCATTCTACGAAAGCCAATAGCTTTTGTGACGGATGGGTCTCTTAACCATCTAAGTGGGTAGTCAAAACGATAGCCTTCATGCTTTACGGTCTCTGTCTCAAACTTTTGACCTACGTTAGTAAAAAGTTCATCTAATGGTTTAGTTGTAGCAACTCTTGAATTTTTCTTTTTCTATTGAAAGCATATTTTATCTAGAATAAAAATGTCGAAAGAAACAGCGTCTATGAGAGAAATACAAACACAACCGACAACTCATTTTGCAAGCTCTAAAATAAGAACAAACAAACTTTTCAAACTATTCTAAGATATCTGAGTCATTGAAAGAAGGAAACTTAAAACTGACGATAAACCCAATGACAGATGAGTTTCTGTTTCAAGACAGTAAGAACCATACTGTTTGTATAATCCAACAAAAGGAACTTTAAACGAGAAACCTATAGATGAACTTCTTTTGAAAGCAGATGTTGGCAACAAAGCTGACAAAGAATATGTCATTGAAAAAGTTCAAGAAGAACATGACAGAGCAGATGCAACATATGCAACGAAAGAACATACTCATCCTGAACTAGCAGACAAAACATATGTTGACAATAAAATGTCAAGTGAAGTGACAAGAGCTGACAAAGAATATTCTAAAAAGACTCATACACATACCATTGCAAATATTGCAAACTTACAAGAAACCTTAAACAGGAAAAGTGACGTTGGACATACACATACCATTGCAAATATTACAAACTTACAAGAAACCTTAAACAGGAAAAGTGCCGTTGGACATACACATACATCTTCTGAAATAACAGACTTAAACGTTAGCCTTGAAAATAAAGCAGATAAAACATATGTCAATGAAATATACCAAAGTTTAGTTGGAACAAAAAATATTGAGACTATTGTTGGTGACCTTTCTGTCAATGAAGAAAATAAATATTTTAGATGGCAGTTGGTACAGTCCTTAGAAAATGGTACACGGTATAAACTCATTCCGAAAAATAACAATGAAATGTATGTAAGCTATAAAAAGAACGATGGTACACAAGTTAAAGTTCCATTAGACAACAACTGCTACTTAAACTTCTATGGAGACGAACAAAAGAAATATTTAAGAGTTTATGAAATGGCAGATATGACATTGCCTGACCCAGCTCCAGCACCATATTATTATGACTATGGAGATGACGTTAGAACACCACATGTAGATGAACAAAAGCTAACATTATATTTAGATTTTTATAGATATAAAAGATATAATGCAATAGAAAAAACGAGAATAGTATACTATTATGAAGATGACAGAAATAAATATTATAGTCAAGACTTTACCTACCCTGAAACATAAGATTATATTATAAAAAATTATTCTGACATGAACCAGAAGAAACCTGAAATAGTTGCACTATATTTTAAGTTCAAAAGAGACAATCCTATAATATCTCATATGTTTGATTTAATGAACCCAGTAGGTTCTATTTATACATCTATGGAAGCAAGAGGTCCTCAAGTAATGTTTGGTGTTGGTGCATGGGAACAAATAGTCGACAGGTTTTTGTATTGTGCAAACTCTTCAAAGGAAACAGGTGGAAGTAAAACGATTTCAGGTGAAAATTTACCTGCACACAGTCACTACATAGATTTAAGTACATCTCAAGCAGGTTGGCATAAGCATAGATATTGGGATTGGTCAGGAATGACAAAAGGTAAAGGATATGATGTTAAAGACGACGTTAAGTTTGCTATAAATTGTTACTGGAGTGACACTCAGGGAGAAGGAAACCATACACATTTCGTTTCAGGATATACGCAAACAACGGGACAAAGTAAAGAATACATGCCACCTTACATGACAGTTTACGCATGGTATAGAATTGCTTAGTCGTCATTTTCAACTTCTTTAGCATATTCGTCAGGAGTTGTCTTATATTTGTTAGGAACTGTCTTTGAAAGTATACCACCTTGAACTTTGACAAGTTTGAAACGAGGTCTGACAATAGTAGTTTTATCTTCTGCTTGCAGTGTGTACATTTTGCCATGTTTGCCTAAAACTTCATAATATTCTCTTGTATACTTTCTTCTATTTTTACGAACACGAATGCGAGTACCTGTCGGGTTCCCATTGTTGTCATAGTCAATAGTATTTTCATATGGGTCGCGTTTGGGTATTTCTATTTTTACTTTGTCACCTTTCTGAAGTTTGAAGCCCGGCATTCTTTCTTGTTTGTCTCTTTTGACTAAACTATTAAATATATAGTCTTTCTCTAAGTCAGGGTTGTTTTTCATTTCTTCGGGGGAGTGGTTTCCCAAACCTTTTTGTTTACGGTTATTGTAAATATTTAAAACTTGTCTCATCTTTGCCATGGAGAAATGTCTATATTTGTCGTCATATGACATTTCATTTGCTTCACCACCTTGTGGTTGATTTAAGTCTCTTAAGATTTTTATACAACTGTCAATGACACCAAGAGCAGAATGGTTTTGGTCGACAATGAAATATTGGTTTACATTTTTTGAACGCAGATAGTTTTTAATATCGTCTGATTTGAAAGAACTTTCATAGTCAGATGTCAGTTTTGTTGGATGGTATTTGTCAACGAATATTGTCAAAGCAGTTTTCACATCTAAAATATTTTTGGACTGTAATGGTATGGCTTCACAGTATCTTGTGTTTTGACCGACAAATATTAGCCAGTATGGAGGTCCATCTGTTCTAACTCTCGGAATGTTTTCCAAGATATCCATAAACCAAGCATTTGGTGTTGAACTAAAGATTTTTATCATGAGTGCTTTCTTTGTCGCTTTAGAAACATAGGGTCCTTGTTTGGATTCGTCATTTTTATCTATAAGAAATGGGTTTATTTGGCGCATTAGCAGGAGTTGCATCCAGATTTTTGCCCGCAGTTGGAACAATAGCTAGAGGTGTATTTGGAGTTGGAAGGAAGATTTTGAGTACATTAGGTATACTGAAAGAGAAAGCACAACCTATTATACAAACTGTACAGAAAGGTTGGGATGTAGCACGAGATGCAACAAATCTTATTCCAAATCCTGAAACAAGAGGAAAAGTTCAAGGATGATGGACAATGTTTCCAGACAAGCAGGAAAATATTATAACAAAGCAAATGACTACTATAACCAAGCAGGGCACTATATGGACCAAGGTGAAAGATTCTTTAACAGAGGATATAACCATGCACAACAGTGGGTAAACAATAACCAACCTCAACCGCCTCAAACGTGGGAATGTAAAGTTTTTTACTGAGATGAAATGAACAATACAGCATTGAGACAAATGGGTTCAAGATGGATTTGTCGACTTCCAGCAGTTACACAACCACGTGTTTGTCAAGTCCTCCCTATACCTCAAGAAGTTTTAGACCGACTTAAAAAACCTAAACAACCAGTTGAAAACAAACCAAACTAAAATTTTTTACTGAGATGAAATGACCGAAGAAGTTGAAACGGTAGATTTGACACCACAAACAAAAAGTTCAGAACCATTGTCAAAACCTGTCAAAGAACTTACAGATGAAGAGAAAAATTCAATAATAGAAAGTGCCAGGTCTGGAAATACAAACCCTAACTATAAAGTCACTTTTCATAGAAATGGAACGGCAAGTATCTCAAAAAAGAAACAGACTCTCACAAATAAAATATTGAAGTCTGAAGGAGTTAAAGAGACAACAGATGGGAAGGTATACTTCACTGACGAACAGTTCATTATAGAACATCTCATTGACTTAGAGTCGAAATATTCTAAACTTTACAAACAAACACAAAAAGTTGAAAGGAAAACAAAAACAAATGGCATATGATATTTACGAAGATGTTGACGACACAACCATACCTGCAAGTGAGGTAAAGTCAGAGGAACCAAAAAGTGACGAAAAACCGATAGAAGAAGAAAAACCAAAAACTGAAGATAAACCAAAACCAAAGGTTAGTTTCCAAACTAAACCAACTCAACCTTCATTAGCTGGTATGGGTTGGCGTCAAAGGCTTCTGGTAGCAGGAGGTTACGTAAAGTAAAGAGAAAAAATATTTTTTTATTTTTATAAAAATGCCCCCATATAGAATGGATAGAAAATCTGCTAGAATAAAAGCAGAGTTAGAAAGATATGGTTGGAAAGTTTCGAAGAAGTTTAAATATAGGAAGGGAAGACCCATAAAAGTCTATGACAAATTGTCTGGTCTTCGCTACGAGATGGACTTAGAAACCGCGCGCGCCAATTATCCAAACAGACTCGAGAGGTTAGAAGAAGAACGTCTTATGGACATGCCTTTCAATGTTAGTGAACCTCAAGTTGAAGGACACGACGGCTTTGCCAGATTCTACTGGAAACATGACGAACAATTGCATCCTTTGAGAAGGAAAAAAGGGAAGGGTGAAGACAAACATGCTCCCATGGAAAGAACAAGATATGCATATGAGAAGTATCGTGAAGTTAGAAGTCAAATTACATCTGGTCGAACCTTTACAGTAAACTTTGACGAAGGAAAGAACAAAGAAGGCTTCATGGGAGTACTTGCTGCCATTCAAGACGGAAATAAGAAAGGATACAATCTCAGACTAACTATAACAGATTTGGACGGTCATATATACTATGCGCATGGCAATGTCACAACAGCTGCAATGCTTCTTGACGCTTTCAAGACTACAAAGAGAGAACAAATGGTTGACTCCGACTCAGACATTTTGAATGCAATTGAAGGAATTGCAAGTGTCAAGTTCGAATGGTACCAACCTAACCCTCAAGCAGTCAGACAACATGTTTGTTAGATGAGAAATATGAAGTAAAAACGTTTTTTAAAACCATATATTTTTACATATATTAAATGCTTCAGGTTGAAAAACAAAGAACAAAAGTAGCAGATACAAAACCGTTAGACTATATGTTTACAAACGCCGGTAGGAATATATCAGATGAAGAAATTTCATCCCGAATTGTCTTTCATATACAACTACGGAAAAGTGCTGAAAAAGTATTGAAAAATATATTTTAGGTGAAGAGGTGAGATTTCACCTGTTTTTTCACCTGTTTTCTCACCCGTTGAATTTTCATGAATTTTGTGCTGAATTCGACAAAAATGAGTTTTTGGTTGAAAAAAGAGGTGGAGCCAAAAGTGGCTCGACCTCAAAACAAGCATTTTGTGAAGAATATACCAACCCGCGGAAAACAGCGGGTTGCTTTTTATACAAAATTCAACAGGTGAATTTTCATGAATTTCCTTAAGATAGAAAAAAATATATTTTAGGCGACCAGGTCACTCGGTCACTCGGTCACTCGGTCAACTAACATCTTTTTGAAAAAGTGTGACAACATGACATTTTGACAACATCGTAGAAAACACACAAAACTCTTGAATTTGTATAAAAAAACCGTCGGAATTCCGGCGGTTGGTATATTCTTCACAAAATGCTTGTTTTGAGGTCGAGCCACAAACGGATGTCGACGGTTAAGCCACAAACGAATGTCCGACGGTTACCACAAACGAATGTCCGACGTCCCACCAAAAAATATTTTTTTTATTTTTATTGTAAGAACAGAAATGTCAGTCGAAGCAAAAACGTTCACGAACAAATCTAATGGCGAAACATTCACAAAAGGCACTTACAACGGTATTGAAGTCTTACGTAGAGACAAGGATGGTTATATAAATGTAACAAATATGTGTCAGCAGTTTAGGAAAGACTTTAGAAAGTTGTTGGAAAATAAGTCCTGGGAAGAGAGATATTATACGGCATTTTGTGAAGAATATACCAACCGCCGGAATTCCGACGGTTGCTTTTTATACAAAGTTCATGCAGGAATTCCTGATGAAATCAAACAGGTTAGAGGAATGTATGTAGACCCAAGACTTATAAACTATATAGCAATGTGGGCTTCTCCAAAATATTGCATAGCAGTTGGAAAAATTATGGACTCCATAGACAAGAAAGTTCATGAGAAGTTAGATGAAGAAGAACTTGAAGATACAGTAGAGAATGCAAAACCTTTGTTTGAAGAAGAAGTTAGAAAAATGCATGAAAAACAAATAGAACATGAACGTGAGATATGTTCTGGTTATAGAGATTCTCCATACGAACTAGACCAATGGGAACAAGAAGATTTAAAGAGAGAATTTAGAGAATATGAACTCGCTAAGATAACATTAGAAGCTGCAGAAAAGAAGTTAAAAGTTTGGGGTCGTTTTGTACAAAAATATTGTGAGTAAATGAACCATTTTTTTTCGACAAAAATAATGTTTATGTTAGAATGTTAGATCTAACATGTTTTCTAACCTCTTTTCTAACATGGTCTAAAACTCTCGAAAATCATGAATTTTACACCAAAAATAATGTTTATGTTAGAATGTTAGATCTAACATGTTTTCTAACCTCTTTTCTAACATGGTCTAAAACTCTCGAAAATCATGAATTTTACACCAAAAATAATGTTTAGGGTAGATGGGTATATCTAACCTCTTTTCTAACCTCTTTTCTACCCTCTTGAATTTTCATGAATTTTCCCGAAATAAAAAATAAAGTTAGTTTTTTTAAAAAAATATTTTTTATTTTTATTGTAAGAACATGTTTAGCAACAACAGCACCAAACTCGTTAGTCATGAACCCAACTTCAATGTTAGTAGAGATGAAAAGCTTCATTCCTTCTTCATATACTTTCGAAACAAAAATCCAGAAGATAAAGCAAGAACTTTTAACAAGTAATTTAGACTGTAGTGCGAAAGATGAAACAAATGAACAGTATCTTTATGAAATGCAGGACATTATTGACCATTTACCTAAACTTCCTGAAATCCAACAACAAAAACTCACTATTCCAGAATTCGATGAAATAGAAGTCGGACTGACTGACTCAGTAGAAATAAAGAAGTTCATACGAAAGGTAAATTATGAATTCCTTGGTTTTCATTGCAACCATAAAGTTATGGACAAAGATTGCGACATGGTATATAAGAACATCTCTGACATATATAAATCTGGGGAGTTTAAGACCTACGACAACTTTGTTTCGTTAGTTGCTGAATGTGTATGGCAGATAAGAGATAAAGATAGAAGAGGCAAAGTATGGAACGAACAGATAAAACCAGCAACTTTTGAGTTAAAGAAAACCATTGACGCCTTAGTCATACTTGCAGGTAAGGTTTCAGAATATAACGCAAAAATGAACCCGCAATGTTCTAAATGTAAAGCAGCAATGAGGAAATATAACTACTCCGTCAAAGAGATAGAAAGAATGAGAAACGACTATGCTGACTTAAAGAAAGAAGCAGAGAAACCAGCAGAAGATAAAATGGACATGTTAGAATTTCTGAACAAAAACTATCCAACTGCTGACGATTTCCTTCTATCTGATGTCAAGAAGAAGTATAAAGAAACTTTCGGTATCGTTAAAACATTTGACATACTAAAAGAAGAAATAGAGGCTACAAAACTGTTTAGAGTCTCACGAATTCATAACGTTTACCATGTAAAACGCTTATAAAATAACTGGGGTAGAAAACAGGTTAGAAAAGAGGTTAGATCTAACCTTCTACCCTAAAATATATTTTTGCTGAATTCCGTATGAAATTTCATGAGTTTTGTGTGTTTTAGACCATGTTAGAAAACAGGTTAGAAAAGAGGTTAGATCTAACCTTCTACCCTAAAATATATTTTTGCTGAATTCCGTATGAAATTTCATGAGTTTTGTGTGTTTTAGACCATGTTAGAAAACGTGTTAGAAAACATGTTAGATCTAACATTCTAACATAAAATATATTTTTACTGAATTCCGTATGAAATTTCATGAGTTTTGTGTGTTTTAGACCATGTTAGAAAACGTGTTAGAAAACATGTTAGATCTAACATTCTAACATAAACATTATTTTTGCTGAAAAATGACCAAATTTCATGAATTTCCTCATAAGATTGCTATCCTCGAAAAACCGAGGATAGAGATTCCGTATGAAAATCATGAATTTCCTTAAGATAGAAAAAATAAAGTTAGTTTTATTTTTTTTATTTTTTTATTTTGTATGTAAGAACAGAAATGTTAAACATTGAGTTTGAAACAGTTAAAAAGATAGACAATGACACCAAAGTGGTTAGAATTGGTGATTTAAACGTAAGATACTCAAAGAAATACAAAAAATATTCTTTGTCAGACATTTTATCTCCATCTGGAAAGAAAACATCCCACGACTGGGTTAAAAATGCTTCTACTCAGAAAATTTTGACAAGAAATCCTGAGCTTATGATATCGGTAAGATTCTATGGAACTACAGCATATCTCATCGACAAAAGTCTTATACCAATAGTTTTGTTATGGTTAGACCCAGTTGTTGGATATAACTTCATAACATATGGTTCGTTCGACTCAGAACGTTGCAGTGAAGGCTTACTTTACATCGTTCAGAAACCGAAGGACTTCAATACAAAAAGATATAAGATAGGAAGAACATATAATATAACTCAAAGATATGACAGTACAGTCAATAGAGTTAAGGTTGTGTTCGTTAACGATATGAGAGCTGCAGAAACAGAACTACTTGAAAAGTTTGAGAAAATGTATGGTGCTCCCATAAAAGGTAAAGAAACGTTTGAAGTAGATGAGATAGATAAAGCTATAAAATTATTTGACGAAGTTGCTGAAAAATACATGTAAAGCGTTTATTTTTACGCTTGACTTCAGATGGCTCAGGTAGTTCCTAACTAGCTCATTTATCTCTATAAGGTAGATTGCCTCATCTGCTGGGTCTATGTCGGTCATTGTTTCAAGACGAGTCTTTTACTTTTTCAAGACAAGTCTTTTACTTTTTCAAGACAAGTCTTTTACTTTTTCAAGACGAGTCTTTTACTTTTTCAAGACAAGTCTTTTACTTTTTCAAGACAAGTCTTTTACTTTTTCAAGACAAGTCTTTTACTTTTTCAAGACAAGTCTTTTACTTTTTCAAGACAAGTCTTTTACTTTTTCAAGAAATTTTTTGGTGTAAAGTTCTCAAATTTGAGAACAGTGGTCTTGATTTCAGACGATACCCGTACTTTTCAAGACAAGTCTTTTACTTTTTCAAGACAAGTCTTTTACTTTTTCAAGACAAGTCTTTTACTTTTTCAAGACAAGTCTTTTACTTTTTCAAGACAAGTCTTTTACTTTTTCAAGACAATGTCCGACGTCAGTCAGTAAATTTTATCGTCCAACCTTACAAATGTAAACTTATATCGTTCTATTTTCTTCACTAGGGTCTAACACCAAAGTAACCTATGTACATGAAATTTCACTGCATAAAAGGAAAAAACCTGCGCGAATCGGGATTTGAACCGAGGTCTTCGACGCCTGTAGCGAGGTAGCCCATACCACTGAGCTATGAGCCGCTTGCATATTTTTAAGTAAAATATAGTATATTTGTCATATAGTGAAGGATGACCAAACTTAAAAAAAATAACGCTAATTTTTAAAAAAATATTTTTTTTATTTTGTATGTAAGAACAGATATGTCAACAACAGAGAACACAACAACTGCTATCGTTCATGAAGCCATAAATGAAGAATATGAGTGGGTTCAGTTTAACAAACAGTTACGTCTCATTCGTTCGGTCAAAGACGATATGTACCAAATGCAAAGTATTTTGACAGCATGTTTTGCTCCAGATACCAAACATACAGACGATTGGTTCAAAAACCAAAGCACACAAGAACTTTTGAGCGAAGCACAGCGAGACATACTTTTTTCTGAAAACAGTGAAGAACAGCGAGCCCGACTTCCATCGGGGTCGCCAAAACTCTATGAAAACAGTGAAGAACAGCGAGCCCGACTTCCATCGGGGTCGCCAAAACTCTATGAAAATCGTAAAAATTTGCCAAATGGTTTGAGAGGTTGGTATGTACATAGACTATTAGTAAATGCTGTTGCAATGTGGGCTTCACCTCGTTATGCTTGGTATGTTTGTAAACTTCTTGACGAAATTCATAGACAAGAACGTGAAGAGATGGAAAACAAGCTTGAAGCAAAAGACAAAACCATACAGAAAAGAATACCACGTTCGGTACCAAAAGGAAAGGAAAAGAACTATAAGTATATGATTTACACTGAAGAGATGGAAAATGAAGAAGACAGAGATATGGTTATGTTGCATTTAGTCAGAAGAAACAACAAAGCTTTTACGACCTTGCTAAGATTTACAAATCTGACAGAAATTGGTTCTATCGCGAAAACTTACCGATTTCAATGACTCCGAATGAAGATGTGAAACAAATAGTTCAAGATACGTTACCTCAAACACACTATGATATGAAAGGTTGTACAATACTTACATTTAAAGAAGATTTGCCGCTACTGAAAGAAAAAATAACAGAGTATTTTGACAACTTCAAACAAGCAGAGTAAATGAACCATTTATTTTTGGTCTTGACTTCAGATGGCTCAGGTAGCTCTAGATGGTAAATTGTCTTGTCAAATCCTTCTGGCATTCCGAGTCCTTCCATCCGACATTCCGAGTCCTTCCATCCGACATTCCGAGTCCTTCCTTCTGGCATTCCGAGTCCTTCCATCCGACAGGAAAAAAATTTCCCGACAACTGGAAAAAAATTTCCTTCCGACAGGCAAAATTTTTTCTGTTGTTCGTCCGTAAACCATTCAAATTTTCGAAAATTGAGAACTTTTTGGTCGAACTTCAGGAAAAGTTTTTTCTTCCGACAGAAAAAGTTTTTCCCGACAACTGGAAAAGTTCTTCCTTCCGACAGGACACAAACGAATGTCCGACGTTCCTCTTCCTGAATGCCTTCCAAAGCCAGAAGAACCGACAGACCCAGCACCACAACAGACTTACTAAGACTAAACACTTACATTTTTACGCTTGACTTTTTACAATTTGAACTTTGTTTGCGTAGATATGAATTCTGAAAGAAGTATGAGGGTCTTGTATGACTTTGTACTTCTCCATAGTTCATGTCTGTCAAACTTACCTGCCATGGACTCTTTCATAAGTTCCATGAAATCGTCTTCGGACAATCCGGGGAAAAGTATGATATCAGTAAGTATTCTCTTTACATCCTTACTTAAACTCTTGCTGTCTGTAACAAATGACAACTGAGATGTTAAAGTGTCTGAGCTTCTAAGAATTCGACACATATCTTGTTCTCTGTTCTTTAACAAAGGATGAGAAGCAAAGTCATCTAAGATAAGAAGACATCTGTGAGGGTAAGTCTTCCAATCGTAAGATTGCAATTTCTTCGAAATGTATTCTATCTCTTTCTGTTTGTTTCTGAAGTGTTTCTTCTCTAATATTCTCTGCATTTCCTCATTTGGGTCTTTAAACTTCGAATTTATATACTCATTTATAGCATTATACTTCAAAAACTCTTCTTTGGTATTCTTTATCCAATCTAACAACTCAGAGTCTTTTATACATACTAACTTAGACTTCTTTATAATATCTTTGAACGAATTGACGGTTTGGTCAAATTGACCAGAAGTACTACAAATGACTACTAACTCATAGAATGGGTTCTTCTCATCTTAGTTCTTGTTGTTGTGCAGCCATTTTAAGATAAGTGAAAGTCTTGCCCGACCCAGGTGGTGCGATTAGACCTGTTATACCATTCTGAGCAAATAAGAACTTGTCATGTATAGGCTTTATCTGAGCATTTTCTAACTTCCTCTTGTTCTTGTTTAAAACATTCTCAAATTTCTTGTCAATGTCAGCAAACTTTTTTTCTAACATATTTTAGAAAAATTAAAATTTTTATCTTTTAGAAATGTCTAGCGATTTCGCTATCTATATTCGAGACAAACTTTTTGACTCTAAAACTTCTGTCGACCATAAAATCTTACATAGTGTAAACAAGAAAGGTGAATTTGTTCTAAAGTTCTGTTTCTGGGAATATGACAAGAACCATAAAACATTACAAAGAGCAGTCTTAAAATTTGTCAATGACAGACTTGTTGACAGAGATGACGCCGATTGGAAAGATGAAGTCCAACAAAAGTTCTTAGAATGCAAAGAAGACACATGCGCTGTTCTTGAAGATGAAATAGAAAAACAGAATAGAAGAGCTATTAAAGGACAAAGAACTTTTACATAAATATGGTTCTGAGAAATTTGACATAACTCCACCAGAAAAGAGAAGAGAGAGAAAGAAAGAAAAGAAAGAAAGAAAGTAGAAGAGAGAAAGAACCTGAACCAGTTCCAGAGAAGGGGAGATATGACATGTAAAAATAAAATTTTATTTTTAGAACATTTCTGGGTCAATGTCAATGTTCTCTTCCTCTTTAGGAGTAAACACTGGCTTAGACTCTAAAATCTTTTTACCTAATTTACCTTGAACTTCAACTATCTTAGACTCATAATATTCATAGTCGTCTGCTTTCTTTGGTTCATAAGGTATAACAAGTTTGTATGCTTTGCCTTCTTTAAGGTTTGAGAACCTTCTGTCAAAATTTTCTTTGACTGCTAACAAACCTTCTATGTCTAAGTCTTCAAATTTCGCACCATTTTTAGTCACAATAGCAAACTTAACCGGTTCGATGTTCCAAACTTTGTCATATGTAGACTTTTCAAAATTGTAGAAGTAAACATTCAAATATGTGAATGGGTCTAGTTCTTCTTTAAGTCCTGACATGTACTTATTTACTGAGATGAATTTCGTCATCTTTTCTATCGGATAAAAAAATATTTTTTTAAAATTTACTCAGAAAAATTTTTCTTTGTATATACGCCGTTCTGAACATCTAAAAGATTTTTGACATTTGCCAAGAATGTTCGTTTAGACGCTGCCATATAACCATATTCTTGACAATATTGTTTATATTCATCATATAAAGACCTTTCATCTAAACACTCAAAGTCGTTTTCATCTATAAACAGTTCATATACACTCTTGTTTGCTTCTAACAATGTTTGTCTTTCTTCGGTATATGGAATTTGTCTTGGATTGAACTTTGAAATATCTAATGTCATGAAATATGAGAACAAGTGGTTGTAAAAGTTAGGTGTCAAAGTTTCTGCTAAGTCGTCAAAATATTCTGTATCTTGCATATGAGAATCTGACGTTCTGACAACTACATATCTTCTGTCAGAACTTTCTAACTTCATCGGAACAGCATTGTTTGAAACCATAATGTTTGCAACATTTTCACAAACTCTTTGGTCTTTATATTTTTCAACAACTCCAACTTTATCTGTTATAAGACTCTTCAAAGCATCTGAGTTCAAAACTTTTGTTGTATCTATACTTTGAAGTTCATTGCAACTATAAGTTTCATATTCTCAATTGAGGAGTTAAACTTGCCACAGATGTTTTCTAAGTTTGTCATATTCGGGTTCGAATAGCCCTCTAACAGTTTGCACAAGATATCTGTAAAGAATGTGTTCTTACCTGTTTCCTTGTTTTCCAATTATAATGAGAGCAGTTTCATTTTTAGCACTTGGATGTTGTAAGATGTTTGCAAACCAACATAAGATATACTCATAGACTCTTTCGTTTCCATTGCATATAATTTCTTTGACATGGTCTAACCAAGCTTCTATAATATTTTCTTTCCATTCTACTTGTTCATATTTATATCCAGTGAAGATAGAATAGAAGTTTGGAGAAGGTGTATAGAACTTTATACCACGAACTGAAAAATCTTCTAACTTTGACAATAAGATATCCCAAGCATCTAACATCTTCATGCCAACTTGTACGACTTTTATTTTCTTAAGTTTCTGTCTACATTCTTGTTCTGAAACTATTGTCGCTTTAGGTTTGTTAAAGACTACATCCCATTCTTTCATAACATAACATTCTGGGGCAGAGTCAACATAAATGACTAAACGTTTCAAATTCTCGACTGCTTTGTTATAGTCTCGAAATGGACACATATTTCTGAATGCTTGGAAGTCATAAAAATCTGAAACATCTATTCTGTACATTTTTATAAAAATAAAAAAAATATTTTTTTTATTCTTGACTTTGTTGTTCCATTTGTTGCATTTGTTGTTCTTGAGCTATTTGTTGTTGAAGTTGTTCTTGTAATACAATACTTTCACCAGTTGCATCTTCCAATTCGAAACTTTCTGCCGTCATTGACAAATACATAGGACATAAAAGTTTTACAGGAACAAAGTTTGCGTCAACTAATGTCAACGTTATACTTGCCAAAGTGTTTGAGTTCACTAAGGTTGAAAATTCTGCATTCGAATGAACAATAGGCAAACCAGCAGAGAAAGTATTGTTTATACGCATAAGTATCTTTTGGTCATAATAGTTTCTGTCGACATTCGAATAACACTTTGAACCTAAGTTTGAAAAATATATAAATAGGTGTACTTAAAGTCAATGGAATAGACATTCCTTGTATGACACCTTTTCCTGTTATAGGAAACTGTTGGTAGTAAAAACCAGAAATAAGTTTTGTATTATAGCTCATATCGTTTATAGTAAACTCAGTCGGACATCCAAACATAATGAAACCTGCTCTAGTTGCAGCACATGTTACATCCGTCCTTAAAGTATTAAATAAGTCAACAAAACCTGTTGGTGGTATATCTGAGTAAGTATCTTCAAAGGAGTATTTTTTACCATTCACAACAATAAAGTCTTCTGGTGTCAAAAGAGCAAAACAGGCTTTAGTCGTCATTGTGTTTAAGGTTAGTTTACAATATCGTCCTTGAGGACTTTGTAAGTTTGTTGTTATAGAATTATATGACTCAGGGTTTTTAGTCGTAATAGTATAAACCATTATGTCTTCTGCCATTTTACTTAGCAAATAAATTTTAATGAAATGTTGTGGTCGTCAAATATTTTTATAACGTCTGGGAATATATTTTAAGTTCAACGTTTCACCTCCTTTCATAACGTATATCTTGTCAATGACATTATATGAAACACCACAGCAAGCAATGTCGGGCTCTATTTCTTTGATGTTTATATCGTCTGCCTCTGTCAAAAGTTTCAATAGTTCTTTCAAAACTTCACGAGGTGCGATGACATATGAGTTCACTTTTACAGGGTTGTGTTCGACCAAGTTTAACATTATACCTAAAGCTTGACAAATCTTCTCCTGAGTTTGAAGTTTGTCTTTCAGTTGTTGGTAGTCATTTCGAATATCTGCAACAGAACTTAAGTCTCTGCTAACTTCAGGATATGTTGGTTGTTCTTTTACAGGAACTATTGTTATACCATCTTCGTCTTCGTATGGTTTCCCCACTTCAACATCTCTTTCTTTGACATTGACAACAACACTTTGACTGTTTGTTTGAGTTGGTGAATTTAACTTCACATCTGCCACCGCCATTAAACCTTTTGAAACACTCACGCTTCTATTTTTCGGAAATGACATTTTACTTAGAATAAAAAGATGGACGTATTTGAGTATCTCTTCGAATTGAAGCAAAACAAAGTTTACACACACAAACAATACAAGTTCATTGATAGAATAGTTCTTTACACAAACAATGGAAAATGTTATAGAATAGCAGTCTTTGCTGAACCAAAATATTTTCATAAAGCAAAGAAAGTTGGTATAACCGAGATGGTGAAAGTTCTTGAAGCAGACAAAAATAAACAACAAAACTTACAGATATTTCTAAAGGTAAGTTTATAATACAATATTATATCAAAACTGGCGTACTGTCAATATTTGACGGAGAGAAGTCAGTTCAAGAACAACTTACTGACCTGCTGCCAAAATCTGCTCGATGGAAGCTGTCGTTATGCCAATCTGAGGAGCCCCAGCAGGTTTCATCGAACGAATCTTCAAAAGAGCATCTTCCGTGAAAAGTGCTATTGGTTTTGTAAACTTCTTTGCTTTCAATTCATCTGGACCGTCTCTGTCACCAGTATATTGTATTTGTACAGTACCAACAGTTGAAATA